AGGCTCCAAAGGTGCCAGTTCTGCGAGCCGGTGAGGATACACGGAGGCTTGGCGATTTCGGGCATCTTGGCGGTGGCGATGACGTGTTTTATCAACAAAAGGACTTGGCAATCATGAAAAGCTTCAAGTTTGACAAATAAGGAAATAAATGACGCGTGTCCCAGAACCTCAAAGAGGCTCCGGGCTCATAACCTATCGGCAATTTTTAAGTCTCAGGGGTGAGGTGTATAGAACGTGTTCTTAATTCTCTTGGTGGTTGGAACTAACGTATCAACATGGGAAGCAACTTAGCAACGCGTTGCATCACGTGGCCGGATTACTCAGCTGCGCTGACAGTATACTAAGGGTCGGTATCAGAAATTGAACATTGTTGCCTTGTAGATAGAAACACACTCCTCGAATCTTACAAATTTTTATTTGGGCGCCAAGCTCAATTACTCCAAAATAACTTAGTGTAGTCTAAGACTCCGCCCCGAGGGCAGTAAGGCTTTCTAATCTATACTAAGCTTTGGCTTACTATATACTTAATATAGGTCCTTTTTATATATCAAACAATTGCTTGAAGACTTTGATTAATCCTTGCAACCTTGTAACTTCAAGTTATAGTTATTAGAACAGTTTAAGAAAATATTCTTTCTTCTAATTATTAGGTTCGGGGCCTGCAGCTCCCTGAAGAATGCTCCTTCGCACCAAGTAAAGTTAGAATAAAATGCACTTTTCTCCGATTCTGATGAAATTCTGATGAAAGTTGGATTATGATATTCTCTATTGCAAATTAGATCGCATCCTTCATCGATCCTTGCCTCGCGAACAGTAATGCATCGTCAATACTTATAAGTGACATTGTAAGAGATTATGTTAACTGTGCATTAGCCCGAGGTTAGAGTGTGCATTCCCGGTCAAGCATCAGAGAAGTTAGGGCATGCCATTTTGGGTCCTGACACGGCGGCTGACATGGGAAGGGAAAGGCGCACTTGATGAGATTCATACTCCGGTCCTTTGGCCTGGACTTGACTCCGAGCTCTCCAGAACCCTCTCTAAATCTTTCTCTTGCGGTCATATACTCCAGTCCTCGCTCCCCAGCTCGGCTTCCCAAACGATACTTGAACGTTTCGGATATCTTCTACGTGTGCATCTGCCCCTAAAAACGGAAGGCCGGTTTGGCTCGAAGTCGGTGCATGGGATTGACGATTTGGATAAGTGCTGAGAGCTATTTGTCCCTCAAAAACCGGCGCAAACACTGAGTGGGGTTTCGAAGTTTAACATTTATCCATCCACTGGTTTGGCCTTCGCCCGGAGCAACGATATCGGCCTCCCGGAAGAATTGTTAGGGCTTACTATAAGTTACTACTGGTGCGTACTACCTACTCCCTAGTAGGTACTAGTAGAACTCCCCTCTTTCCCATCATTGTGTCAAGTCCTGACAAGCTGCCAAAGATCGAGAGACCTTGAATCTGGGAACAAGGAATATAACTGCCATGACTAACGTATACATCATGGGCCTCATGTACGGCGAATCCGCCAATTTTTTGGCCGGCCGATATCAAAAGTACTAGTAGTATGCAGCATGTTTACCAATGACAATTGATTATTGCTTGCAGAGAAGCGTTAGACCCGAGGGTACAGACGGTAATCCAGGATTTCATCCAACTTCATCATGCTTTGGACAATGGCTTCGGCTCTGGCACATGTTCGAGCTCACCTCCCATCTGCAGAAACCAGACGGCCCCCGGGTGCTCGACCACAGAGCTCCCCCCATACAAGAAGTTCATGGGAAACCCCAGGTCGAATGGTACAGCAGCCTCGATCTCGCGAATCTCCTCCTCCGAGAGCCGGATGGTGAGTGCCTCGATGTTTCCGCGCAAATGATCGATCGTGCGCCCGCCAACGATGGGGAAAACATAGGGGGCTTTGCTGGTAACATAGGTCAGGGCGATGCTGGTTCAAAGCGTGCCCTTTTGCTGGGCCAACCTCTCCAACACGCGCGACACCTGTCGCTCGTTCTCCCCGGGCTCCACGGCTCGTCCCTCGCTTCAGACACGAAGGTACCGCCCCCCAGGGCGCCCCAGGGGGCAATCCCCATGCCCTCCGCATGACACATGGGCAGGATATCCCGCTCAAAGTCCCGTGAGGCTGCATTCCACCGGCCCTGATAGACACTGAAGGGACGCAGGCCATGGTTGCGTGCATACTCGTTGGCTTTACTCACCACCCAGGCCGGGGTGTCGCTCACCCCGAGGAAGAGAACTTTCTCGGCGGCGACCAGATGGTTGAGCGACTGCATCAGTTCGGGGATCGAGGTGCCAAAATCCCACCAGTGCACGTAGAGCTGTCAATTTTCTCGGGTCAGTCTTTCTCCTCCTCCCAGTCCTACTCCGGACGGAGTAAGCGTACCAGGTCAATGTAGGTGGTTTGAAGTTTCTCCAAACTCGCATGCACCGAGGTGTGCAGGCTCTTGGTGCCATTCCCATTAAAATTGACAATGATTTCCTTGTCACCGCGACCAGCGTGAAAGTTGGTCGAGAATTTGGTAGCGACGACCATTTGATCGCGCACGCCGCGCTTCTTCATCCATTCTCCGATCCACCGCTCGGACTCCTCGGCCTGGTAGTTGTTCGAGGTATTGAGGAAGTTCCCCCCTTGACTGTAGAAAGAGTCCAGAATACTCTCGGTAGTATTCTGATCACAAGTTCCCACTGCAGTCCACGGTCATCAGCGCTTGGTTGCTGAAGTTCTAGTGGAAAGAGGGTGGGAGGGCGCTTGGGGCCTCACTGTAGCCTTTCCATGCATTACCGAAGTTCATGCCCCCCAAACACAGCGGACTGACACGAACTGAGGCGGTGGGAGACAAAAGACGATAACGACCGAGAGGGCCTTTGGCGCGGGGAGCCGCTTGGGCCAAGGGAGACTCTGTGGCGGGCATGACGGGAGAGAAGTTAGGGCTAAGTTGAGATTTACTGACGGCGGTCACAGTCGAAGAGTGAGTGACAGTCATGGTTGAAATAGTCGCAGTATCTCGAGTCCTTCCAGCTGTTTACAACAAACAATGACGATTAGAGCCAAAAGCAGTGGGGTCAGGGCTTGCAGTAGCTTTCAGACCAGTGATGCTTAAGCAGAGCAGATATAGTAATCATATACACGGTCCCAGCCGATCCGCCGGACCCACTCCGAAGTATTTCGGGGTCGCTGTTGTCTCCCGATGTTTTCGGACGCAGAGAGACCACTCCGGACTATTTCTTGCCCCCTTTGTGTTGCTCGTGATGTCTCTTCTGTACCCGAACGTTTGTCTATGGCCTTCTCGACCAGTCTTCCCCTCTTCTGTCGCCCACGCCCACGAATCCGGATCGCAGCTCGCCGAATCATGACCCCGAAACGCAGCCACCACGAGGACCCCAAGGTCGTGCAACTCGACCCCTAGCCCCTGGGCCACGTCTACCGCCTGATCGAGCCGGGTCCAGTGCTGCTGGTGACCACTGGATCCCTGCGTGACGCGACCCACAACGTCATGACTATCGGCTTTCATATGATGATGCATCACCAGTCACCGCCGCTGATAGGCATCACGCTGGGCCCCTGGAACGCCTCATTCGCCCGCCTGCGCAAGCACCGCGCATGCGTGCTGGCCATTCCTTCCGTGGAAATGGCCCCCGAGGTGGTCGACATTGGGAATTGCTCCGCGGCTGGAGACGGGGAACCCACCAAGTGGGAGCAATTCGCACTCGAAGCACGCCCCGCAGACCAGGTCGAGCCCCCCTTGATAGCTGCCCCGCACATCCTGGCCAACATTGAGTGTGTGGTGGAGGATACGATTCTGGTGTCCAAGTACGCGATGTGGGTGCTCCGGCCCGTCAACGCATGGACCAGAAGGGGGGATCATCAGCCCGGCACCGTCTTTCATCATCGCGGCCAGGGGGTCATGGTGGCCGACGGCGAAGCGATTGACCTCTCGCAGCGGATGATCAAGTGGCAGGAGTTTTTGGGTTGATTCTCAGCTCTGATGTTTATTTAGCATTCAAATCTTCCGTCCAATTTACCCAGTAATCTCCGATTTCTCTCGGGCCTCTCGGCCGCCGTCAATATATATGGATAGATGTTCACCCCCTTCCTCGATATCCGCGTTTGCAATCCACCCCCCTCAACCCCTAGACAAGCTGTCTTCCTATTTAGGAATTGCAGCTGGTGGAAACGAACACCCTTTGTGAAGCAAACATCGATTGAGGCCATCTTCAGAATCTAAACGTAGGAGCTGGTGAGATCTTGGGCTTCTTGCAAAAGGCAAAGGGAGATTTCCAATCAGGAATTCAAGTGCGTATCTACTCTCTACCAACAGAGCACTACCGTCCTACAGCTACACGTGCGTCGCTATCGATTACCCGGCAAGAAGATAGACAAACAGCATAAGAAGTTGTTCCAAAAGGCTGACTGTCCTAAGAGCAAAGCTGGTGACAATGACAGATGACACCAGAGCAAGTCATTACTGACAGGAGAAGGAAAATCAACAGCACACACACCACCACCGCATCCCCAGCCTCCAGTATCAATCCCCCTCACAACAACAACAACAACAACACAACATCACCGCTCTCCATCAACATCAGCGCTTCCCAGCATCCGTCAAGTAGGACCGGGTCGCAAAGTCCTGAGACTCTACTCTGATTTCCGAATTCCCCATCCATCACGATATGCATCTATCAGCTTTTGCATGATCTGTCTTCGTCGATCGCAGAATGTCCATTCTTACCAGAGCTCGAGGTTCTTCACTTTCCTCCAGTGGTAGTAGTGGTGGTGGTGGTGGTGGTGGGAGGATTGGGCTGAGGGGTCGAGGAGCTCGCCAAGGGGGATCTCTCAAGGCTGAACTTGACACCCACTTTATATCGCCGAAATCGAAAGGTTGAGTTGCAGTTCGCAATCTTTTCGGTGTTTTCGGAGTTGCCAGACATTGTGTGTCGGGACTGAGTTGAGGATATGGAGGATGGAGGTGATTCCAAACAGAAGGACGCGTTGCAAGGAGGCTAGGTAATCGAAGAAAAGGCAACAGGAATGCGAGATAAGAAGATGCAAAAGAGAATAACCGCATCAAAGATGGGATCGGGCTCTTTGATAGACTGGGTGAAGATACACAGGAGAGGGCTGTCACATCAAAGCCTGCAGTGGAATGCCCCGGTGCATCCCGAAGTGTTCGTGGAGGGATCGAATCTCAATACAAACTTTTACACAGCCACCACGGCTACCAGCACTGGTGGCTCAATGTTTGACACTTAGGCGTATGGCTCTTAAAATATTCGCTTGGGTAGTCCTTGCACGCTGGGTAGCGACGTCGGGGTCTTAGACAAGCGCGGACACATCATGAATGAGGGGATAAGGGCGGTGAGGAAACGCCATACTGGAAGATTTGCATTGGGGCTCGATTAGCTAGACAACAGAAATGTTACTTTTGATGACGCCTTTGAGAGAGGTGGAAGATGTTTGGATTCTAGCTACGTCAGGCTAACTGCGAGAATTAGCTAGGGCCACCGAGATTGGCAGTGAGCGAGCAGCCCCAGGCAAGGCTCCAGGCATAGATCATGCTACGATGGAGGCTTTCATACAAGGAAGGTCTGTTGACAACGCCCAAATTCAACTATATCTTTGATTGAGATGAGTCACTGAGCTGGAACCGAAAGCAAGTGAGTGAATCGAAAAGAGAGAGAGAGAGAGAGAGAGACGAGAAAACAAATGACAGGGGAGTTGGTACAGATCTAGCGGAGAGAGAAGAAAAGCTGAAACAAAGCACGGGAAACAAGAGAAGTACTTCTCGAATGCGGAGTACCGCAGCACAGCACTGAGTCAGGAGGCTCTCAGGCCCAATACCTCGTGAAGCTTGCTCAAGCCTTGCAAGTCTCCAGCCATGGTATCTTTCAACTTCTTGTCGAACCAGCCCCAGCTGGCGCCGCCTTCAAAATCGATCAGCCAGGCGTCGCCTTCGCCATCGATCACCACATTTGCCGCCTTGACATCTCCCCAGCAGAGACCCTCCTGATGCAGAGTCTGCACGGCCTCGGAGACCTGGTCATACCACTTCGGACGGTCGGCGAGGCTCATCTCGCAATCATCGAGAATCAGACGATCCAGACTGCGGGAGGACGGGATGCACGTCATGAGAATCGCTTCGAAGATTGTATCCAGGCCGATGAGCCCTTCCAGCCTCGGGGCCCGGAGAGTGGTGTATCCTTTCCGGCTCAACGCTTCCAGCTTCCGCAACATCGAGATCTCCCGGACAAACTCCGGATCTCTGGCAAGCTTGTAGACATAGGCCCGTCCGTTGATGGTGACTTGGTGGACCTGATTCGTCAACGCGCAGAACCGCTCGACGTCCGACAAGGCAAAGACCGGAACGTCTTTGACGTCCTCCTTGACCAGGCCCCAGTCGACTCTCACGAGCTCCGGCTGCAACGGTTCGAGTCCGGGCGTGTCTGCGTCCGGCCCCGGAACCAGCTGGAAAGGCCGGAAGCCGTGTGTTAATTCGGACTCGAAAGTGTCTCTGGCCTCGTCCGTCTTGGTCGCCGTGAAGACCGGTCGACAGGCTGCTTCCAACCCTCCGAGGAGTTCCACCCAGGCCTGCTTCTTGTAGAGATCGAGGTAGCGATGGACAACGGTTTCCTCGGACCTCTCTTGCGGGTCGTCCGGAGACGGAGGCGGAACGATGATCAGGATGCCGAACTCCGTCTCGCGAAGGGTGGCCTCGTCCTGAACGGCGAAACCTATCGCAGCCACCGCGAGAGGGCCCGGACTTCCGAAATGACCGATTTGGCTGGCCCTGAGGCCTGGACGTAGCGGTGTGCCGGGGCCGGAGGTAGAGGCAGAGAAGCACATCTGAAAGTCCTCTAGAGAAGGGTGAATTAGCCACAGGTCCGTTCAGCACTGCAGTGAACAACTTACCCCAGTCCGCCTGGTCATCGAACCCGCGGCCACTGTATTTCAAGTTGGCCCAGAACTGAAAGTCGAGGCCGACATTGTCCTTGGGCGATTTGGCTGCCATCGTGTTTTGATTGGAAGATGAGGTACGTGGGTACGTAGTGAAATATGCCGAGGTAGAAGAAGATTAGGGCTGTTTGGAGAAATGTTGTTGGGAGAAACACACCGCAGAGGATGCAGAGGAACAGCAGCGCTTTTTAAAAAGACATGGAAACAGGGGTCGGTCAGTCATTCATTGTGCTGATACAGCAATGAAGATTTGACCAAGGCACTGGAAAGGAAAAGGTAAATAAGAACACGGCTTCGCGGGATTGCTTGCCCGAGGGTAAATCTCGTATACACTGTCTAAGCTGAGAGAGTGCAGTCACCGCATAGGATACTTTTGTACACAGCTTGTGCCTAGAAATCAATAGTTAGTATTAGTTACCAAGTTAAAATACTAGTCTTGCATAATTAGCTAGACAGCAAAAGATCCGCTGCGGCTGGTAGTCCAAGGTGGTGAGTCGAATTAGATCGAGCCGCCGTCTTTGTTGGCGACGGTGACAAAGATATTTCTCAAAGGTCGATGTATACTGTTTCCGTAGATTCACTCTTCACAGTGCAAACCCTTCTAATAGTCGTCTGGTTAGACCCGTTTCTGACGAGTTTACTCCGTAATATTCACAAAAATGGACAGCAGAAAAGCACCAGCCAGAAAATACGAGAGAAAGGAGAAAGTATAATATAAAACTGGAATGTCCTTTACAGTTTGACTGAGATCATTAATCTCAAGAAGGGGAATAAATGCCTCTCTGCCATTACCCGAGACACAGGATAAACAAATGACCTGTCAAGGATGTGTGACTGTGTGAAGCTATCTGAGAGGAACTATCAATGTACTTGGCGGGTGGTAAGCAGCCCGAGCTATGTAGTAGTCTGTGTATGCCTTCAGTTTATCCATGGGATCGTGTAGTATGATGTCTGAAGACTATTTATTTTTATTGTTTTATTTTTCTTTTTCCTTTTCATTTATTGATTTTTCATTTTTTGCAAAGCGCTAAGTAACTTTCCAACTTAGTTAGGATTCAGGGCAGATGGTACTTATGAGGGCCAAAGCATGCTGACTGCTGATTGGCTATCGAGATATAGTCACGTGAACCGCGCTTAGCCGAATGGCGGATGGGGGTGTACCTACCTAGTAGGTAGGTACCTTAAGGTAGTAGGTATGGATCAATACATGTATGGCGATGCTCCAAAGGGTCCTTGGGTGCTTGGGTGCTTGGGTGATTGGGTGCTTGGAAAGATGCCCCCAGTTCGCCCTCGTGCCTCGTAGTAGTAAGTTGTCCACTGTGCTGCTGTCAGCATGGACCGGGGGCTTTAGGGCTACATATACCTTTAAAAATTAGTTGGGACTGTCACCGATGTGGATACCCAATACAGTAACCTTGAAGCTGCAGCTGATCTACCTATTAAGTCGTCATTCTCACAACGACATATACCTATACATAGTAGTACAACTGGCTGCACGGACCCGCGTCAGCCGCGTGGGCCTGTGCCCTGCGGGCTGGCGGCGGGCTAAGCCGCAGCGATTGGAGCGCTAAGTGTCGCTTAACCCGTGTGCTCGTATACACATCCATAGCGCGAGACATGCGAAGAGGCTCGGCGAGGAATCAAGCCTCAGCTGCCACGAATTGATTACCCAAATTGGTTCCAGGGATCATCCATAGCGAACAGGAATTCTGATTCCAATGCCATGGTCTATCTTATCCAGTGGTGGGTCAAGCTGCCTCGGAGGGTGTTGCGAGATGACTATATAAGGCGGTTCTCTTCTTCTTCTTCTCCAAGATCCTAGAATCCAGACAAGCATCTCCAACCCCAATCTCCACTGACTCTCAATCAACCGCAGAGAAACCATGGGCTCAACACAACCCAGCCTCGAGAGCCTGGGCGCGACCATAGCCGACCTCACCCACGCTCTCGCCGGTCAGCTCAACGCCGCGGGGCAACCGCAGCCATCCTTCGCAGTAAATGCACCAGCCTCCATGCCCCCAGACCCCAAAATCCAGGATTCTCGCATGAAGCTCCTAGAGACTCTTGAAACCCTGCACCATCTAGTGACAGGATCCAGCGACTTCTGGTTCCAACAGAGCATGTTTGTAAGTCCCCTTGCCCCCCCCCCTCTATCAGATGGCATAGGCATATCGATCCTAACCCAAAAAGCCAAACCACGCCCTCCTCACCTTCGACGTCTTCAACACCTTCCACCTCTGGAACGCAGTGCCCCTCCACGGCTCCGCCAGCTACGCCGACATCGCCCGCACCACCGACCTCCCCGAACCGATCGTGCGCCGCTTCCTCCGGCTCGCCTTCACCATCTTCGTCTTCGCCGAGGAAGGGTCCCCCGGCAACGAGCGGGTCGTGCACACCGCCGCGTCCGCGCACATGGCGCGCTATCCCTATGCGCGGGCCTTCCTCGCGCATAACCTGGAGGATGTGCGGCCCGCAGCGACGGTGGGGGTGGATGCGTTGAAGAAGTGGTTTGTGGGGCGGCATGGGGCGGAGGTGCCGGAGGAGATCACGGCATGCGCGATCCCGCTGGCGACGGATCATGATGGGCGGCGGCGGGGTACGGATCTCTGGGAGTTTTTGGAGACGTTTGAGCGGTTGCCGGAGCAGCCGAGGGGGTTTCGCGCGAAGCGGTTTGCGGAGGCGATGCAGGGATTGCGCAAGACGAGTGGGGTGATGACGGAGGGGGTGTTGAGGCGGTTTGATTGGGGTGGGTTGGGGGAGGGGGCTACTGTTGTGGATGTAAGTTCTTGCTGTTGCCAGTGGTTCAGGGGAAAGAGTGAATTGTACGTTGGCGGTGCTAATGCAGTATAGCTTGGAGGGTCGGCAGGACATATCAGCGTCATCCTCGCTGAACACTATCCCAAGCTCAATCTGATCGTCCAGGATCTCGCCTCGGCCCAGTCGGCCTTCGAGGCGAATATCAGTTCCACGCCGTGTGCATCCCGCATCACGTTCCAGACACACAATCTCTTTGAGCCGCAGAGTTGTCCAGCGGATGTCTTCCTGCTCAAGTCGGTCCTGCATGACTGGTCCGACAAGTATGTGCGGCAGATTGTCCGGAACCTGCTGGGAGTGCTGAAGCCGGGGAATCATCTGCTTGTCTTTGATTTCGTGGTGCCGGCGGAATATGACGATGCCCAGAACAAGCTGGCGATTCCATTGCCGGTCAAGAAATCGGTCGCGGCCATGGATCTGCAGATGCACGTGGCGTGTAACTCGAAAGAACGGACCATCCAAGACTGGACGGATGTGATCAAGCAGGCCGATGGTCGCTCTGACTTGAGGGAGGTTCATCTTCCTGCCGGATCGCCGCTGGGGATTCTCGACTTTGTGTTTCAGGGATGATAGATCGCATCACAATCATCCAGGAAGCAGAGCCTGGGCTTTGCTACCTCTGCTCTGAGACAGTATACCTATTAGTTCTTATGGATAGAATTGAGCGTGTTTTGTTGGATGTCCTTTGGTTCACACTTTTGACTCGACCTACCTTCCTAAGCAATATTCCTTTTGCTGCATCAAGCTTCACCTGTCTTAATCTGTCCTCGCCGCATTGATCTATACTCGAATCCAGATTATGTGACAAATCCTCACCTCCAAGTATATTTCCATCCATAGTTGGCCATTCTGATCCTGCTTGACGCCATGGGGGTCTCTCCGTCAACCTCTGCCGCGGATGGTTCAGGTATTCCCCAGCATCGCAGCTATACATATACCAGATCAGTTTCAACCCCCCATAGGAGAAGAAACCTGACTTTGCGTGGACGACACAACAGCTCGACTCTCTAATCAGCACACTATACAGATTCTACTCCCGGTCGCAGATGCTCGGTCCTAGGCCGAAGAGGCAGAGTCGTGATACCCTGCGCCAGGACAGATGCGGCTGCAGAGCGTTGCGCGAGAGCAATCAGCCGGTCGATCTGCCCTCCGAACCATGGCCGGAACGCTTCCAGGAGGTCTGCCACTGCATAGCATGGCTGGTCCACGCTGGAAGCCGTGTGAGTGGAGACTGAGACAGGCGATGTCTGGCGTCGAAATCGATCGCCCTCCTGCGGGCCCGACTCCGGGTGGGTCATGACCTTTGCCCAGCTGGAACTGCTGCTTGCAAGCCAGGAATGAGGAATAACGAGTGTCGCACCGTGCTGTAGCAGCAGCGCGATTGACTCAACATGGGCTTGAACTACTTCGGCGTCAACGGTGAGATAATTAACTAAGCAACCTGCTGTCCACGCGAGGAATCGTGCCCAGACGGTCCCTCCTCGGTAATAATCATTGGGGTTGCCCCCGTTTTCGAGCACAATGCGCACGAGTTCGGGGCTGACCAACGAGTACCCAATACCCAATGAACCACTAAACTGGTAGAATTCCGGTCTGAGAACGTGGTCCAGGATCGGGCGGCCAGCCTTGTTGCGCACTTGCGCTGGACCAAGACACTCCCTGACATAGCCTCGCATATCAAAGTCGATGGCGAGAGTCAGGAAACAACTTCTTTCGTCCGCCCACCTTTCTACTACTCTGCCTATGTACCAGCCGAAATTCATGCTACTGTTGGGATCGCTCGCTGATAGGAGAGCTTCAATGACTGGGTCCAGAACTCGGGCTGCTCTGATGGCTGGGGCGGACTCCCTCCATCCAGGCACTGCTAGTGCGCTCGCCAGATAACTAGCGATGCCAAAACTCAATTCCGGATTGATTCCAACAACCATCAAGGCTTTAAGTTGATGGATTCTGGCGTTGACCAGGTACCGCCTTGCGTCAAAGGGCCCGCCGGTATTTCGATGCAGTAATTCCTGAATCTCAGGCGATCGAAGGAAGTCCCGGCAGCTGCGATGTATGAAGCTGATGGTTAGCATAAATGTGTGTCCTATCTCTGCCGACTCCGCAACCTGTGTACAAAGCGCAGAATTGAATTGATGACCATCGTAGGTCTCCAAGTGATCCGGAGTGGTAAGGTCAAAATAATCAGAAAACTCCAGATCAAATACGCACTCCAGCAGGCCCATACATCGACTGTTGATCCTACGGTACGTGGAGTCCAGCATAAAGGCAAGTCCTTCACGATCAGCCAGATCCAATATGGGATAGTTCGGCGGGCTTGTGTCTGCAAAGTCAAGGACGGGTTCGTCAATGAACAGGAGGTCAAGCATCCGCAGCGGGTGGAGTGCGGTGAACGCGGTCTCCTCATGTAATGCAATTTGGATCATTTTCGACGCTTCTCTCCTGTGCAGGGGAGGGATCGAATCGATCATCCTACTAAAGTATTCATCCAGGTCAGCGGGGATGCCGTTGAGCTTTCGCGACAGGGCAGCCATATTATCGCCATCCTGGAGAGCTTCAAGCAGGTCGCGCACCACGAGCCGGACCCATAAGAAGACTCCAGCAGCCTTTTCAGTCATCGCTAAAATTAGTCTGTCTGCCTCGGCTTTCTGGCGAAGGTGAAGATATCGAAAGCGGGGGGATTTGGTAAGCTCGGTCTTGATATATGTGCTGATATCCTGATGAGTAAGGTCCTCTAATCGCAGTTGCGGTGTGCTGTTGAAGGCATCTCGGAATACGTTCCACGGCCGGCTTGACAGACATGTCTTCACATTCGCCATTCCGTTCAAGCCAGTCAGACTTCGGATTACATCCCGTCGCAACTCGTCAGTGCCTTCATATTCATCCAGACCGTCGATAAGAAGGAGGATTTTGAAGCGGTCTTGCAGAGCGCCAATGCACAGATGAAGTAGACTCATTAGCTCAGACTGGGTCCATTCCACATGACTCGAGCCCCAAGTTCGGGGATTGTACTTTGGTCCAAGTGTCGTGATGCGAGCTATGAGCTCAGGCTGCTGTTCGAGTATCTGGGCAAGCAAGGACCGCACGAGTCCTTCGAAGGACTTCTGCAGCGCATTCCCTGCATTCCAGAAGTAATATGAAGCTCGTATCACTGTGAACCCACTTGCCCAGGGAAGCATATGCTCCTCGTTATCCAGATTTTGGTCCAGGTAGCGCATTAGGGTCGACTTTCCCGCGCCCGGTTTACCGGAGATCCAGTAAATCGGTTCGGTGTCCGTGGGAGCAGATAGCCAAGCCACCACCGAGCTCGGGTGTTGTGGCTGCAGGACCCATCGGTAGGTCTTTTCGTGCGCAGTTCGAATTTGTTGTGCACGTTCCTGCATTTGCGGGAACTGGATGCTAGCCAAGAACAGTTGGTGGGTTTCTGCTAGTCTCCTTTGCTCATCCAGGTTCCTGAGATGCTCTTGTCGATCGAGAATGCCATGAATCTGACGTTGAAGGTAGTCAAGCTGATGCCGATGCGAGACGAGAAGCTGAGTTTCTGCCGCTTGGTTCATGCCGGCTGCCTGCACCTGCTCCAGAACCTGGCGTACATCCGCTCGGATCAGCGCGCAACGTTCCTCCAGTGCAGATAAGACGTTGTCCTCTAGCTGAGCCGTAGACTGGAGAATCTGATCCTGGCCCGCCACGGTGGCTTGGGTATCCCTACCACGCACTTAGTGACACGACAGTAAAGCATCGGCCAGGGGCATACTTGAGGTAGAAGAGCAGTGCGGTGTTGAGATTCTCCCGAGCCCGACCCACAGCCTTAGACATGGCTTCCATGCGGTCGCGATTCCAGAGCGTCTTGATGCTCGCCCGGATGGACTCTAGCAATGCATGTGGGGTGCGGAGCTTCAGCTCGTTCAGCAAGTCTACGAACTCGATCGACAGACGAAGGCACTCTTGGTTAGCCTGCTTCAACCGAGCCAGCGCCGGAGTGAGACTGTCTGGGTCGGTAGAATTTGGGATCGAGGCGTGTAAGTCGACATTCAAACTGATCAGGCATTGCAGCACTCCTTGCAGATCTTCGTGCTCGCGGGGTTCGCCCGCGCTGGCTTTGCGGTAGTTCAAGGTCAGGGTCAGGGTTTTCTGACCAAGCTCAATGACTTGAAGAATGTTGCATGCGAGGGAGAAGGCGCTTAAGGGGTCCATACTGAATGTCAGCAATGGGCTCCGAATCGCCTGACGGGTATGTGTATCACAGCCATAGTTGGGGGGGGCGGGGTAATCTAGTCGACGAGGCTGTGTCTAGTCAATCGGCTGTTTGTTTTTCCGTGCGAATAAGTATCAGAACTCGAGCGGCGACAATAATAAAGAAATCCATGGTTGTGTGTCCCAGAAGGCTGTTGTGGAGAAGCAATGAATGGTGTCTTCGATGCCAGGAATATTTGCCAACAGATGGGGAGAAAAGGATGCGAAGTTGGAAGAGGCGTGAGTGGATGAACCATACGGCAAGTATGGGTAATGGGACTCAACTGGATAGGTACAGTACCGTAGATCCATGCAAGCAACACAGACAGTAACCGTAGTTAGTGGTGCATGGATCATGGGTTTGTTTTTCCCTGTCCATTTCTGGGTACCTAGTGTAGGGATCTGGAAGGTGATATTGGTTGAAGACTGGCATAGAACACACTACAAGTATCACCACAACCCACTATCCATCATCCCTCGCAACTCACCAAGAAAATCCTTGGCCGTGATACGCCGCATCCACCTGCCATCGTTCTTCCCCTCTTCCTCGCACAGCGCTTTTGCTAACAGTCCCGCCTGTCGCACGGATAAACCGTTACCAAACAGTTGAAGCAGAGTGGTTTCTATCTTCGACTGTTTCGCAGCGTCAACTACACTCTTCCACACCAGCATGCGAAAGTCCCGATCAGACGACATCCGGCGGGAGACCAACCCCAAGAACGACATCGCCATGGCAAAGACATCCGAGCTCATGGGATCGTGTTTTTGGTTGAGTAAAATCTCTGCTCCCGCGTCAGTACACCGTCAGATTCTTTACTCCAATAGCTTACCTTGAGATAAATACCCCAAAGTTCCCGCACTGCCTCTCACCTCTCGGGCGGGGGTAGCGTGGTCCAGGTCCGAAAGGAGAACGTGCATGTCCCCCGTCTCATTCCATCTATACACCACATTCGCGAGCTTCACATCGCGATGCGCAAAGCCCTGTGCATGGAGCTGGACTAGCCCTTCCCACATTTGCAGCATAGCTGAGCGGGTCCGCTGCCCTGGCTCCTCGCGCGACGACAATCCGGCCGCCCACGAATGCAGACTTCCCTGCATGCGTGGCATGATCATTGCGTAGACCAGCCCATCTGCAGCCTTGTCATCCTCTGGTTGGGGAATGGTTACCGTCTCCAGGGAGCGGAGCAGGTGATCGCCGTGGATGAGGTCCATTAGCTGAGCCTCCCACAGTAGATGGGGACGGTGCGAGACCTTGATGGCGACATCCTGCTTTTCTTTGAGATTTAGAGAAGACAGAATGCCAGGATAGACGTAGCCACTGGCCCCATGGCCCAGGATCCCTCGCTGATCGATCTCTAATCGGTATCCATCGGTGAATATCGTGGTTTGGTCTGGGTCGTCGTCCTCCTGGACTCGGGATGCCGGGACTCGGGACCGGAGAACGTCAAGGGTTGCTCGGCGGTTGGCGTGACCTGAAAAAGGTCTGTGATGGTTGGTATAGTTCTTGTACGTCTCCCATGACTCGATGAAGTCAGGAACCTTGTGTCTCTCCTGTTCTTGTTCCGTTGCTGGATGGCTCGATGGATCTGGGAAGGCAGAGCTCCACGGTCGGCATCGAATTTGTCCGAGCAGTATTAGAGTCAAGCAGATGCCCAGTGGAAGCTGGAATACCAGCCAGGAAATCGATACTGCCATGCTGATGGGGTTTTCTCTCAATCAAACGGGAGGCAACAGTCCGGACCAACGTAAAAACAGCAGGCATCATAAAGGAGACGCAAATGCTAAGACGAGACATTCCTATCAGGATCATCGGGACTGTCTCTTCAAGACCTGCTTTGCTGCATTCAAGTGCCAATTTGGACGTCCATCACAAATCAATAATTGAAGTCCCACAGCCATACCACGATGCCCGCATCTGATGCTGCCGCGGTGCTGCAGTGGAGCCAAAGATCACAGATGTTGAATCCTCAGTGCGGCAAGAAGCTCCGCCTCTTGCGAGTCATGCATTTCCCCAAGAAGAACTATGAGAAGCATGCAGTGGCTTGTCGCTGACATGAGTGGCGGCTCATCTCCGGTTGGGTGGCGATCCTTGGGGAAATTTTCCCCGAGATGCAGCCACCTGCCGCTCAGTATTGGATCTTCTGCACTAGCGTTACCAGCTAACGATTGATTATCCAGTTCAGCCCGCTTGAGAGAGAATCTATGCTCGTAATCCAGCAAGTTTGGTCGAGAACTAGAAGTCCATTGAGATACGGTCTGCAGAACTTACCGGTACGTGGCCGCATAGCTCAGGCAGGGAGAGGGCCCGTCTGCGGCGAAGAGATCCAGCCCGTTCCGGTCGCTTGATGGTGGTCGTTGTGTGATTGATGCAAGGTATGGGGATGTGTCGTGGATGTGCGAGTGGAAGTATGATTTCGATAATTGAAACAGGGTGCTGGTCAACTCGTTGCCAAAGGCGGCGAGATGCAGTGCGATGCAATTCAAGAATTGCCAGTATAATTACGCCTTGAATGTTCCCACCCATTTTCTTGAACTGCCAGTGCACCACTGCTGATACAGATAATTCTTTCATCGCTCTTCCACTTGCCTACCACAAATCTCCAACGATCACGATGCTTGTCCTCACCAAAATCATGCAGCCAGCCCTTCTGCTGGCACTTCTCTGCGTGCTCGCAGCCGCTCTTCCTGCAGATCAGGGAGCCAATCTTACACGCGACTGGTAGTGAGTCAAGCGAAAGATAACGCTAGAGAGGGGAAGCTGACAGCGATGCTGCTACGAAGGGGATTGAAGTCCAAATTGATGCTCATGCAGAGGCCTAACAGCTATGAATCTCAGAGCATACAGCAGGGCAAACGATCGGTGAGTTGGAAGAACACAAGAATACAAGGAAACATTCGAGAAGGGAAATGCCGGGCTGACAAAGTGCATCACAGCTCCTCAGTAACAGACCTCCGCGATGGCGAAATGGCAAACGACAAGATGTGAGTCTGTCGAAAAGTAGTTGGGCCAGGCAGAGCTGACCGCGATTTATCTTGTCATCAAGAATCTGGCTCTGGCTCTATCAGCATCGGCCTCAGCATCGGCCTCAGCATCGCTTAGCTGAGATCGCGATTGCTTCCGGCAGACGACAGGTGGGAAAGCAGCGCAGCAATGTTTATAGACACGTCTAAATGTTTTCCAGTGCATAGACATATCCGTTTGGCGATCCGTCTGGTTGAAGCTTTTACACACTATGGAAATGCCCGTTTTCCATATGTAACCATGAGGAAGCATCGTCAATGCAGAGGACATCCAGTACAGTAAAAGTGGGAAGGAACACACCCACAACTCAATCTGGCAATCCCATGACAACTAGAACCACTCATCTCGGTTTGCAACGACTACTACTAGTAATACTACTTACTACCTTCTTAGTAACCAAAGCGGCTCGTCTTTCTCCTACCAGAGTCAACTGCAGGTGCTCCACACAGTACCTGCCAGTCGTTCAACGCACATGCATATTAGACATCAATCATAAGAACGATCATATCACCGCTCATGCAAGACTTCCTGTACCCCGACTTATTTCAGCTCTTGTCCTGCGAGATCCCATTCCACTTTACTGATCCCCCCATTCCCCATCAGCCACAGCGTCTTCAATTCCGGGCCGGTCCAGGCAAAGTTCTGAACCGTGTAATTCGTCTGGATGGTGAACAGCAATTCCCCGGATGGATCTATGACGTCCACTCCGTAACCACAGCCGGTAACGATGTAGCCATTTGCGGCCACTTTCAGTCCATCGGGGACAAAGCCAGGTGCGAGGTAGATGGGCCGTTTGTTATAGGCGTGGGCTCCATCTTGACTCACGTCGAAGGCATAGATGGTTCTGGTGGGTATGATGTCAGTTACCTGAGACTCGAAGCAAGTGATAAGCGAAGAGTTGAGATGAGTTACCTTCGCTGAGTCGTGTTGAATGTGCTGCCCGGATGGCCATACTTCGGGTCGACCGGGGCGCTGACAGCAACGGTGTCGCTGATGTAGACGATTGAGCCATCTGGAGTGAAAGCGATACCATTTGGCTGTCCGATACTGTCGTCGACTACGACAACTGCACCAGAAGAAGTGTTATAACGATAGCTGGCAGCGGGCAGCTGAGGAGGCGTATCAGTTAGAGAATTGAACCAAGAGTATTCTGGAAGCAGTTAGCATGTGTGTGAGGAAGGGTGTAACAGGGCACTCACGAGGATCGGTGAACCAGATATCTCCCGTCTTGGGATGAACGGCAAGATCATCAACCGTGTTGAAATAGTAGCCAAAGTAGTTGTTGACCAAGCTGACGGTCTTGTTGGTCTCTGGATCCAGGGTTCTCAACCCCACGCGCTGCTCGGAACCTCCAATGGAGTTGTTGCCACCAGAAGCACCCCAGATGATCTTGCCGTTGTGGAACGTACCACCATTGGGGGCATATACCGGTGGATCAGAGAGATATTCGGACAATGTGGGAGGATCCTGGTTTAGGTCGACCACAAGCTGCGGTAAATAGCCAGTGGGAGGAGCTAGCTGCGACAAATACAGCTTGTTTTGTGACGCTACATAGACAGGAGCCTCGTGCACGGCCTCATTCACCGCGAAGACATACTCGTAACTGGGGTTGGGTCCTAAAGCCTCGAGACCTTTTTCCTTGTTGTACACAATGAAATCGGCCGACTTGATGTCGTTCAGCTTGGTACCGTTGGCCACCGTGGTGTCACCAAACGTGGTGGGTGCATCCATTGTAGTTAGATTGCGGAAAAAGTGGTAGCTAATCATGCATCAGAAGGGCTGTCTACATTTGGACTATGTGCCACGAGTCACTCACGGTAGGACATTGCCATAGCGATTTATGCATACCACGGAGGGGCCGCAGTCCTCTGAGATGGGCTGTGTGACTCCTGTTTGGGCACGAGCCAGTCTGGGGGCAAGGAAGACTAAAGATAGAAGAATCGACTGCATAATGACTACCGGACTAAACAACCAAAGTGGTAGTCCCAGCTATACGGTGAAAGACCGAACGTCCAATTTCATGGCATTGAATCTGATAGACTTGAGCGGGCCAAGGCTGGTACTTATAGATGAGGACCATGCATCTCCAAATAGAGGGGTGACCCCAAAAAAGGGAATGGTGCCTGGGATCAGCACCGACACCGATGAGCCCACCTCTCTGCATCCGAGAGAATTCCGTGGGGGTGAAGAAGAGCCAAATGTGGGTGAGAAACCGACTTGGCGGGGGGTTGGACGATCCGGGAAACAATAGAAAACCTCGGCTGCGGGGATGCGTGGCGAGGGATCGGGCCTCGCGGTTCGCCCGAGTATCTGAAGCTATTCACCCAAGCTAACCACAACACAGTAAGGCTGTGGACTATCAAGGATCTTAGCTTGAAGAGGTTTGGTTGTAACTTGGCAGATCGAGCAAATGATTCGGAGTAACTCCGATCTGGTAAAGCAAACGATCCGTTGCCAAGGCAAAACCGCGACATCCCTTGCAGAGTAATCCGTCGTCGTACGGTAAGTGCGGACTTGTAGCAACGAGGGTCCTCAATGGCGAATACTTAACGAGCTGATGTCTTCGATGCTGCCTGTTCCGTCACCTGCAGATGCAGTCGACGTCTCCTTTGCGTCCGGGTGAATATCCGAACTGTCTTCCTTTTCGCCCAGCGAACGCTGGATGAGCTTGGCTTTCATGACAGCGCCCTTGTAGCGTTCGTCCACATCGTTGACGGCCTCCTCATCGTTCACCATCGGTAGAGAAGCTGGGTCGACTAATTCGAGCAGAGTGTCGAGATTCTTGGCCAGTCTGGAGCTCGTCACCAGGTTTGGCATCGCCTTGCAAAGCGATGGGTCCAGCAATCCTTCGCCCGGTCTGTCACTCGTCCCATCCTCCGTTTGCGACTCCGAAACAGCCTTGGCAGAGACAGACGGGTCGGAGTCTGCGACTCGCTGAGCCCAAACCAACGCCTTGCCGTACAGTCTTCCGATCTCGACGAACTTTTCGAACCCTTTCTCGACGGCGAAAACACTTCCTTCGGTGTAGCCAGCCAAGGCGCCATCTGCGGAGCCCAGGTTGAATCCTTCTTGATAGAATTCTTCCTCCAGGTCCAGGAGACTCTCAAGCAGATTACCGTCCATTGCGGATTTGAATTTTCCCCTCTTTTTCCTGGTGGGTGGGAGGGAGAGCCGGAGATCGTGGGTAAAGACAATTGAACGAGGTGGAACGTAGATAAAGAGAACGCAACAAAGGAAGTCAACCCAGGAGAGTAATTGACGCGGAGAGCATTCCAGAAGGGAAAAAAATAAATCGGAAGAAAACGAAGGGTACGATAGCGATATGGTAGACCGATAGTTACGGAGAGATAGATAAGCAAGCGCTGCGGAGAAAGAAAGATCGGAAGAAGCGATGAATCATCCTCCGGCAGCGGCGCAGAGACACAAACTGCTGCTCTGCTTTGCTCCGGCGTGCAACTTTTACTTTACCCCGCCAATATCTTCACCTCCCCTCCTCCTCTTTTCTCCTCTTCTCCCCCCTCCTTCTCTCTCCTCCACAAAAATGGCGTCCGACGATTCCAAAATCCTTCCTAAGAAGGGTCAGCGCAATATCCTTGTGACTAGTGCCCTGCCCTACGTGAACAACGTCCCCCACTTGGGTAACATCGTTGGTTCCGTGCTCAGCGCCGATGTTTTCGCCAGGTCCGTCTAGTCCTTCATCCTCTTCTCTCCCTCTTTCTTCTCTCCCCGCTCATCGATTGCCTGGTTTTTCGATCTAACCTGACTGTCGATTAGATACCACAAGGCCGCCGGACACCAGACTCTCTATATCTGTGGTACCGATGAGTACGGAACCGCGACGGAGACCAAGGCGTTAGAGGAGAAGGTGACCCCGGAGGAGCTGTGTGCCAAGTACAACAAGATCCACCAAGAAGTATACGAGTGGTTCGAGATTGGCTTCGACCACTTCGGCCGCACCCCGACGAAACAGCACACCGAGATCTCCCAGGCCATCTTCAAGAGACTGTACGACAACGGCTACTTGACCGAGAAGACCGCCGAGCAGCCCTTCTGTGAGACGCACAACTCCTTCCTGGCCGATCGCTACGTCGAGGGCGAGTGCCCTCGTTGCCACTACGACGACGCCCGTGGTGACCAGTGTGACAAGTGTGGCCACCTCCTCGACCCCTTTGACCTCATCAACCCCCGCTGCAAGCTCGACGGCGCCACCCCCGTCCGCCGCGAGACGAAACACATCCACCTCCTCCTGGACAAGCTCCAGCCGCAGATCGAGGAATGGTCCTCCAAGGCCATCGAGAAGGGTGACTGGCCCAAGAACTCCCGTGTCATCACCGAGTCCTGGTTGAAGGAGGGTCTGAAAGACCGCGGTATCACCCGTGACCTGAAGTGGGGTGTGCCCGTGCCCCTGGAGGGCTTCGAGAACAAGGTGCTCTACGTCTGGTTTGAGGCTTGCATCGGCTACCCGTCCATCACGGCCAACTACACGCCGGACTGGGAGCTCTGGTGGCGCAACCCGGAGGACGTGCAGCTCTACCAGTTCCTGGGTAAGGACAACGTGCCGTTCCATAGCGTCATCTTCCCCGGCTGCCAGATGGGCACGGGCGACAAGTGGACGATGCTGCACCACCTCAGCACGACCGAGTACCTGAACTACGAGGGCGGCAAGTTCAGCAAGTCGCGCGGCATCGGTGTCTTCGGCAACAACGCCAAGCAGACGGGCGTGCCCGCCGACGTGTGGCGGTACTACCTGCTCAAGAACCGGCCCGAGACGGGCGACACGCAGTTCGAGTGGCGGTCCTTCGTGGACAGCAACAACAGCGAGCTGCTCGCCAAGCTGGGCAACCTGGTCAACCGGGTGATCAAGCTGGTGATCGCCTCGTACGGGTCGGTGGTGCCCGAGTTCACCGTGCCGGAGTCCTTCCAGCCCACCCTGGACGAGGTGACCGCCACGCTGCGCCAGTACGTCGAGGAGATGGAGGGCGCCCACCTGCGCGCCGGTGTCGTCAGCGCCATGAAGCTGGCTGAGATCGGCAACGGTCTGATCCAGGCCAACCGCCTGGACAACTCGCTCATCGCCAACGAGCCCGAGCGCGCCGCCGCCGTCGTCGGCACCGTGCTCAACCTCATCCACCTGCTCGCCAGCGTCTTCGCCCCCTACCTTCCCGCCACCTCCAAGTCGATCAACGAGCAGCTCGCCGTCCCCTTCGGCCTGATCCCCGCCCTCGACGACCTCAAGGACGGCTGGAAGCCCGACGCCGTCAAGGCCGGCCACAAGATTGGCAAGGCCCAGTACCTCTTCTCCCGCATCGACCCCAAGAAGGCCGACGAGTGGCGCGACCTCTTCGGCGGCTCCCAGGCCGACCGCCAGAAGAAGGAGGAAGAAGCCGCCAAGATCGCCGCAAAGAAGGCCGCCAACGCCGCCGCCAAGGCCAAGAAGAAGGAGAAGAAGGCCAAGGAGGCTGCTGCCGCCGCCGCGGCTGCTGCTGCTGGCGGCCAACCCGTCGAGGCCTCCGCCAAAGGTGGTGCTGAGAAATCCGATGCCTCGTCCTCCACCGAAGCCGTCGACAAGGTCACCGACGGTGTCGCCCAGGTGACTCTTCCCACCTCTTAAATGATTTTCCTTCCGAATCAAACCTTAAAGAGCATTCAAGAATTGCCGGGAAAAGAAAGTTAGGAAGTCCTTTTTTTTGTGTGTCTCTTTTCTTGCAAGTCTTTTAGAGCGACTTGTGTCCTGTTTGTGGGTGTGGTTGGATTAGAAGCCTTTTTCTTTTTCTCTTTCTTTGTTTCCTTTTTTCATTCCATTCCATATACATATGCGCAGAGTTGATACGAGATATGATGCAGATTGATTCCAGATTTCTTTTCTCTTCTGCTGTTGTCGTCTTGCTTCTAAAGTCCTGGATAGCTCTTCGGGTTTTCCTTCATTGTTAGTGGTAGGGTAAGGTAGGGGCAAGGGAGGTGTGTGTGCGTGGCCTGAGGTGTTTTGGCCCATTTAGTTTTCGGGTTCTTCCATCCGGGGTTGCTTTATTCAACAGTCGTCGAGGCATTTAACATGGGTCTCTCACTGATGTTATTCAGTACTCTTCATGATAGACATAACGATGTCGAGTATTCCTACAAAAGATCTAGAATCCCCTCCGCAACCGTATAACTTCTGGTCCTCTACAAACTACCTTATGCCGTGACGACTCAGACTTACTACTACGTTCCTACTACCTTCGAACTTTGGAATTCAAGAAGAACCATTTCTAACCTGAAATGAACCGCTCAGATGCATTATTCCCAGAACACGACAAGATGATGATAAAAAGACATACATAAAATATGGAGAAAGGTAGGGAGGGGTCGGGGGCGGGTGATAAGACCTGACCGTGATAATCCGTGCGTTTCATTTTTCAAACATCGGAATTGTTGTTTGTTCCAGGGATCTCGAGATAACGACCCCCGATATACCCACCGACACGCACATATGCGTCCAAAAACATTGCTGCACACCGGGCCTTCCCTTCCATGCTCCTTCGTTCTCTTCCCGGGCATCAGACTTACTAGGGGATGAAATCATTACCGCTTGCGAGTACCGGGTCTGGGCTTGACTTCCTCCTGGGCAACGGGATGCAACATGACCTTGTTGGGGAGTTGTGGGGTGTTGGCGGAGTAGCCCTTGCTCCAGTCGTAGCTGACGGCGTAGGCGAAGATGGTGCCCTGGCGGTTGAAGGCGGTGGTGGAGATGGTGCCGCCGACCGAGGGGTAGCCCTTGAGGCGGTGTTTGGCATCCTTGTCCCAGAAGTGGAAGGTGCCGTCGCTGCCTGCGGTGCTGAAGGTGCCATGCACGGGGTGGAAGGAGATGGCATTGACCGAGTAGATATTGCTGATGTCGCGCTGGTTGGGCGGGGTCTCGCGGTGGCACTTGAAGCTGAAGTTGGAGCTCGAGTCCTTCTCGTCGACGTACTGGATGGCACAGCGGCCCTCGACACTGCCCACGGCGAAACCCGAGGAGTCGGCGAAGCAGCTGACTACCCGCGTCTGCCACTTGAGGGGGGACTGCATCGTCTTGAAGAACTTGGTCGGCTGGTCGAGGTTGATGATGTTGATGTACCGGTCCGCCGTGCCGACCACCAGCAGCTTGTTCTTGACGTCCATCGTGTACACGCGGTCCTGGCACTCCACTGTCGCGATCGGGGTCTGTTGCCGGATATCCCAGTACTTTATCGTCTTGTCCCACGATCCCGTAATCAAGAGCGGGCTATTTCCCTGCGGGTTGGGAATCATGTGGCAGCTGCGGATCGGCGCATCGTGTGCCGCCACTTGAGTCGTCGCATTCGACGCCAGGTCCAGCATGCGCGCCGCCTTGTCTGCGCCGGCGCCGACGACTTTCGTTCCATCCTAGGGCAGGGTCAGTAAGCGTTAGCTCGCGCGAGACGGAGGAAGCAGGGCATTAGGTAGCAATTGCGCGAACGGGGGGGGGCGGGTTCACGTACCGGTGACCAACAGCAGTTCAATACAGGAGCTTCGTGCTCGAAGAAAGCTTTGCCTTCACTCTGCCCCTGTTCATTGATCTCGTAAATGCGCACCTTCTTGTCCCACGAGGCGACAGCAAGGTGTTCAGCGGCCGGGGAGAATCGAATGTCCGAGATGCTATCTTCCGGAGGTTGGTTCAGGGCGACATCCTTGGAGATGTCACCTGTGGTGTTGGAGGCACCTGCTGACGACGAAGCGCCGACATTACCGAAAAGCGACATGGCGACGGAGGCTCCGAAGGTTGTATATTATGTGGTAAAGGGCGGATTGGCCGGAGGCGATGAAAGCGAAAGCTCCGATACGCGAGACGAAAAAGGAAAAGCAGACGCGATGACTTGGTTGGCGGTCGGCAGAATCTGGAGGTAAGAATTCTCAGGCGACTGAAGACAAAGAATTGGCTTCCACAATTCTTGCTCGCTTGACTTCTTGCAAGCTAGGAGCAGGAGCAAAGCTCGTTGTACCAAAAAAGGCGCTAGGGAGCGAAGCACTGGAATTGTTGACGAAAGCGAGGCTCTTTCGACGATGTCGGTCCGGGTTGTCTCCAAGACTCCAAGACAATCCTCGAATATCTTCGATCCTGCCGAGTCACACCGCCTTCCGCCCGGCCTAGCTGCTGACTCAGCCAATCTTGCCCGTTGCGGCAGTTGATGGCCATTGCAGTGCCTGCCAGTGCGGGTCACCCTCTAGAGTGAGTGACCTGGCGGAATGTGTAGAGCTGCTAGGTCTAAGGTACGGAGTACCTATCAATTCATGCATGCATGGACGGTGGGTGGTCAGATGGTCGAGTGATTGCTTCCACTGTTGATGTCTCAGAGACCCTGCTCTCATACAATGTCCATCTCTGTATGCTGTTCTTGTGTTGCTGGCTGATATCGGTACGGTCCTTCATAATGAGGACCAATTCTTGTACAAAGTACAAGCTACAAGATAGTCATACAGTCATCTCAGCTGACGGTCACTCTTCAACACCATACCATCTCAAAGTCTATCGTTTTACTCATCCGTTTGTACGCGTTGTACTCCTACACGGAGATGCGGGACAGGCACCCAGCCATGAGTCCAGAATCCCCTCTTCCCCCTCTCGCCCTCAGCCAGACAAAGTAGGATGGCGACAGCATCGGGGGTAAAACCGCAGGCGTCGCTGGTCGTGATTCGCAGCTCCCGACAGACCCCGCCCGGTGCTGCAAGTTGAGGCAGTCTGCAGACCAATGGCAGACCTCCCTCACCATACGATCGACCTCGGATTGACATTCTGGAGAATCTCCAGACCCGGGCGGAGCTTGTCGCAGAAGGTACCGGAGCAGGCCAGGGGAGGTATCAGCGCACACATCACACCACCACGCCCAGGCATGATTGATCGAGGGGGCCAGTCCCCGACCAAGTATGCATCCCTGACTTTCCTTCCCTCTTTCACTTTACCATTATTGCCTGAATATCCCTTGTGGACGTGGGCATGGTCGTGGTCGTGGTCGTGGTCGTGGTCGTGGTCGTGGTCGTGGTCGTGGTCGTGGTCGTGGTCGTGGTCGTTGTGGTAATAACCCCTCTCCCATTTAAGCTCACGTGTTGCCCGGAAACCAAGGGTGGACTGTACCACGGAAAGCAGTTGTCAATTGATTGGACTTTGGTGATGGAAAACCACGCAATTTAGACAATGAAGTCATCCATTTTTTTTTAGGGAAAGGATGATCATGATCAATCGGAAGATGGGGGGTGGGTTGGAAGGAGGAGCGGGTGGGAGCAGATCTCTGGTTTCAGGGTAGAATTGGAAATTGGATTGGTGGTGTCATGTAAAAAACCCGGGGGTGGGTGGAAGTAACCATAGATTTGAGTGGTACATCGAGTGGAAAAAAGTACTTTGTTCGAGGTGTCAGTGTCGCTGTCAGTGTCAGTGTCAGTCAGACTATCAGTCAGTGAATGAATGAATGAGACGAGACCGATGGAAGTGGAGCAAAGCCGCCCGCGGTGGGAATGCGGGGTGCAGCTCTTAGTTCAATGGGAAGCTCTTAGTGGCCGCTTCCGACGTCAGGAGCTGCTCGTGTGATCTCACTACTACCTGGCACTATGTAGATGGAAGTACAGTCACTACTGTCATCCAGTACAACAACTTACGATCAGACATCCAGGCATCGGTTTGAGGTGGACAAATTGTGTGACGATAGCTGAAGTTGTTGGGGTTGTTTCTTTTGATGGATATGACTTTGATGGTGTAGTGTCTGTAATGTATAGGTAGGGTCTAGGTAGGGTCTATGTTTACCTACAATGCGTATACCATACCGTACACTATATATTGTAGGTATACTAAAGTATACGCATCAGTAGATGACCCGTTGATGGGAGCAATGGGAGCAATAGACATGGAACCCGGGGGTTTCATGCTTTGATGCCAACTGGGGAGTGGTTGAACCAGTGCGGTCACCTGCCCACCCTCCACTCTCTTCTCTTCCTCCGCTCCATCCAACTCTTCTTAAAGTTCCTGGACTTCCCCCTCGCCTCTTCCATTCTCCTTCTTCTTCTCTTCCTACTTCATCCATTGGAACTCTTTCACTGCCATCTCCTCCCATCTGCTGCTTCCACCCAATTCACTGTTCGGTAAGCTTTCGACCCTGACCCTGGTCCTGATAAGTTATTTCCTTTGACTTCATTCCATGCCATCTGTCCCTCGTTTCTCTCACTTGATCCTCTCTCCCCTCTGTAGCTTAAAGCTCTCGGACTCGTAGTCCACTCTCTTCCCTCTGAACCACCCTCCTTCTGTCCCATCTTCCATCATCGTCATCGACATCACTAACCAAACGACTCTTCATATCACCAGCCAGTGATTCCAGACTCATACCATCGTCCACCATGTCGGAAGAACTCACCAGGGTCGACTCCGCCGTCGCTGGCCTGACGATAACGGCCAAGGACGAGAAACCAGTCCAGGTCACCAAGGACACCAAGGACACCAAGCACAGACGTCACTCCTCCACCGCGGAAGGCGTCTACAACATCAAGGAACTCGGTGCGTATCTCATTCTCTCAACCTCACCTGCCCAACCCACTCACTCACCAACCATCCGAACAGAGGAGAAGAAGATCGAATTGACCCTGCCCATCGAGACACAACGCACAGGATGGTAAGCGTTCTATCACCACGCCTCCATCAAGATCAAGCAAGCCATGTCCCACTCCATCTAACCTTTCATCACTGTCAACGAACAGGAAGCTCAACACCTCCCCATCCACCGTCGAAGACAAGGACATCCTCAAACTCTACCTCGTTAACCCCCCGGTCAAGAAGATCGACCTGCACTTCCCCTTGGGCCTGGAGGTCACGGCCCGCAACATGAAGGGCGTCACGATAAAGGATGCGCTGGACGCAATCTACAAGCAGTTCAAGAAACAGGTACGTCGGTCCTCAGCCCTTATCCACTCACTCAACTAACCCACACGCAGTCTGACGACGTATTGACCGATCCCTACCTCAAAGGTTTCGAGTGGGACAAGGATGAGTGCTGGACACGCCTCATTGTCCACCAGACCAAGCAGGGTCCCCCCGCCCAGCCCAGCAGCAAGAAGTCCAAGAAGAAGAAGAACGAAGACGCATAGAGGGCTTCCCCCTCAGGCTTGATTGATGCGTGAAGCCGTTTCCCCACAACCCTCTCGTAACGAACTACCATGACCTCCTGTCTTAACCCCTCCCCTCCTTGTTGTCCGATTGACTTTTCTCTTGTGTACTACCCCTTATCTGTTGTAGGGGACATGGAGAAAGGCAAAAGGCATTGTTAGTTAAATCGGGGGCAAGACGGAGACGCTATCTAATCCTTTGTAATTTGAAACCCTCTCTATCTTCGCGTGTTTCCAGATACTCTCTCTTTTTGTCAAGGTGCAATCTTGTGGCCACTTTCGTTATGGTCGATCGTCAAAGACGCGTCTCGGCTCTCATGGGGTCACCGACGTGGTGTTACAAGGCTGAGGAAAGTGAAACCCCACCAACTTACAGTTGACTGATTGACTGGGGGTCGAAATGGACGGTGGTAACTTACTGTACTGTGCAATCCATCTCGATCCGCAAGTTTCCCATCGTTTACAATCACACATTTCACTCCACTGCCATACCAGACCGAACCAGCCGCTTGAGTTTTTCGCGAAAGACGTAAGCTAATCACCCACCGTGACACGTATTTCGTACTAGGTAGTGTAGTTGTCGTTCCAGTTGTGGTTGTAACTAAGCATACAATCGAAGTACTCCCGATCGCTAAGACTCAGGCTAGTGCCGTCGCGTTCCGCGCTAGTCCACAACCCGGTATCCACCTTCAACTTGCTACTGCTACGAGTACGTACTCCCTCAACTACAGTGCCTTCTATGTACTTCTACTTTCCGTCGGTCATTATGCATACCGATGCAAAGCGGTATTTACCTTGATGCCTTCCACCAACGAACGAAACAATTGATCCATCTAACCCGTGACCATAACCATGCATTGCAGCATTCCGTGCGAACCACGGGTATTAGTATTAGATGCAGGCAGAGAACCACCAACGGCGGAAGAAAAGAAACATGCTTATTTGCAATAACGGGAAAGCAGACGACAATAGAGAGGAAAGAAGAGAAAAGCCTCAGATGGCCCAACGATGCATCAAGCAAAGCGCCCGCTAAACCCAAATGCAACTAGAGCGGTAGAGTGATTAGAAGGGGAAGGTGGGAAACAAAAGGACAGCGTGGGGGGACGATAAGTATACAACAGCAAACACAGTCCGAGTCATCGTCAATGCATTAAGTGTGGAGACATTAAGTTATGGAGAGTGAGTGGGTCTAACGTCCGCGTCCGATGCTGTCGAGAGGACCCCCACTACCACTACCCCCACCCCCAAACAACACCAGCACGATCTCGTCCAAGATCGTGAACACCAGGTGTGCATTCAACCGTGGGTTGTTCAAGGTAGCGAAGATGCGCCGGGCCGCAGCTTGCGCGTTGGCCCGCCCGACGACGTTGCCCGCCAGGTCGGGGATCAAGGTCGCCAGCACAAGGCTGGCCTCGGTGCGGCTGCGGAGGCGTTCGGGTGGGGTGCGGACTTTGCTCTGGCGCAGGGTCCCGCCGGGCCACATGGTGTCCTTGGCCAGGGCCAAATACCGGAGGAGGGAGTCGTCCTGCACGAGGGAACGGGCCCCGTCGCGGACCTTGCGCTCGATGGTGCCGCCCAGGAGCTGGTGGAGGACAACGACGACGGCGCGCCCGCGCAGCCAGTTGTTGCCCTTGTTGAGTTCAAAGGTTTCGAGGAAGAGATCGCAGATGGGTTTGATGAAGGGCTCGAGGTCGCGGTCCTCGAAGGCGTTGAGCTCGGCCTCGGCCTCGGCCGCGGTGACGGCGTCCTCGGGGGAGAGGGGGACAGTGCCGGTTGTGTTTGTGGTGTTGAGGTTGCCGTTGGGATTGGTGTTGGTGGCGGCGGAGATGAGGTTTTGTCCGGCCGTGGAGAGTTGGTCGAGCACGCCGAAATTGCCGAGGAAGTCGTCCATGCCGTCGGCGACGGAATTGTAGATCCGGGTTACTAGGTCTTTGGTCTCACCGTCACGGGAGCTCTGCGTCTCGTTGCGTTGCGTGATTGCTCGCTGGGACAGAAATGCTCGCAGGTCTCGGCTGCGGCAGACTTCAGGGAGAAGGAGCAGTTTCTGCAGGTATTGTTCGAGGGCTAAGCGTCTCTTCTGAAGGAATTCTTTCTGGAGCTTCAGAACCACCCGGCGGCGTGGAAAGTCCAAATGCCTCACGGACGGGTATCTCATGCGTAGTTTGGTGTGAAGTTCATGGAATTCGCTATAGCGACGCGCAACCGCCCAGGATGCCGCTGGCATTTGCTCCCCGGCGTTTCGTTGCACTTCGATGACGTCTTGGGGTCGGTCAGTTCGTTGTTCGATGTCTCGACATCTATGAAAAGACCGCATGATTTGGACTTACACATGGCGAATTCTCGACCATCCTCCTCCTTCCCTACTACGATGGATTTGATCCGGACCGTTGATCGGCCGTACAAGCTGTTATCGCTCTCTTGAATGATGTACTGTTGCCGTTGCATCTCTTTCCGGTGAATCTCACGCTGGATACTCGCCTTCGATTTGCGTAGAATCCTCAATTCTGCGGTGTTGTTTGTGAGCTCGGCTTTCCGAGTGAGAGTGTCGACCACGGACTCTTGCGATCCCAGCTTCTCAATCTCGGTTGTGAGCGCCTCAATGGCTTCCGTCAGCCCTAAGTCTCCGGGCGCAGCTTCATGAACTTCATCAGCCGGGTCTTTGTCTGACCCCAGAGGTTCTTCATATTCATCTTCGATGAACTTCTGCTGGTCAGCGAAAAGGTCATCGTCAAAGACACCATGCCGCGAAGATCGATCGATGAGTCCAAGCGAGGCAATGCTCGGTTTTGCCCGCTCATCTAGCCGATTCTCCGCGCGAGCATACTCGGCCGAGCTGCGCGGAGAGCGCGGGAACAGATCACCGGCTGAGAGGCGCGTTGGGGATGACTGTCCGCTCTTAAAATCTTCCAACCTACTGTTTCCGGGCTGATTTGTGATAATATCATTCAAGGCAGCTTCCATCGTCTCGATTACCTGATTCTGATTCGCTTCATTGTCGCCATTCTGCGAGTCCTGTCCAAGACTCTGGGTCGACATGGCAAGGGGATCAGTGTCGTAGTCGTCGTCGAACAAGGGACCTGACCTTTCAGAATCAAATGAACGTCTTGAAGAGTCATCGTCATCAAGCTTCTTGCCCATACTTCGTACATCGCTTGATGACACAGCTGCACGTCTCAGATCTTTGGGTTTGGCGCTTGGTTGTGAGGAGGTACGGGTCATCAGCGGAGGAAGCGGTCGTCTCTCGGGAAGGTCGGCGGTGCTGGGGGATTGTGGAGGCACATGAGACGCAGATTGTGAAACTTCATCTGACGCAAGATATTTGTAGTAGAGATCGGACTTCTTAAATTTAGGATAGTAGGTGCTCTGGAGCTCCTCGAGTACCGCAGACTGAGTCGTCAGAATTACAGTCCGTGCTTTACGGTACTGGTCCGCAGTGGCTCGCTTGCCTGCGTTTAGGAACGCTTTCACTGCTCGACGGGATTCTTCCGGCACTTTCAACTCAGGTTTGTTCAGGTAACGCTGGCTGATCAATGCCATATCATTCTGGTCTGTGGAAGTCCACGATGTTGAGGTTGGAGAGTCCTCGTCTCCAAAATCATCTTCCAGCGGATTGCGGAACCCATCAACGACGATCCAGAACTGCACCAGAGACATCAGCTTTTGACGGTCCATAAACTCCATGAAATAAGAGAGTCCTGAGGCATCATGCATCACGTCGACCAACGGTGCCTCCCGAGGGGCAGAGTTCTTGCGCCGGAAGTGGGATGCTGCCGCCGAGGCGTGTGACACACGGCTCCCTGCAGGCGTGGAAAGCTTCGTTACTTTTTGATCCAGAACCCTCTTAGCCGTTTCCAGCCTTTGTAAATAGGTCGCATCTTGTCCTTCTACCATAGATTCGCGCTTCAGCTGGCTTACAATGAGGGCTCTGAACCGTCTAGCATCGGAGATGTTGTCGCAACGCCGGATCGCTCGCACCAATCTCTCAAAGGCTCTTTCTGAATCATGAGGACCTAGACGTGGAAATTGGCTCCCGCGCTTCGATCTTGGTGCTGGTGAGGCGTGTTCATCTAGTGCCGCCCGCAGCTTTCGGACCGTCTTTCGGTCCTGTATGGCAGTACGCCCGTAAGCCTCCACCAACTGGTTCCAAGTGTCTGGGTCTGAAAGGGCCGCAATTATAGGATATAGTACGGCGCATGCGAGGATTTCTCGGGCTATGACGGACACAATGCGGCTATTGAGTACCGACGCCGGAAACAGTTTTGGCAACAACCCCACGGTGATTTTGCGGAGGTATTCTTGCTCGACGAGCTTCTGGTCGGACAAGGAAACTCTAGCTGCCGGGTGTATGTTGCCCTCCCGATACTTGCTCGCTATGGCCAGATCCAGCTCGTCCGACTCGGTAACATTCCGAGTAAGATTTCTTCCCCGCACCAATCGCTCCGCGACATCAAACTCCTTCAGGTGGGTTGTGAAAATGGGGAATATGCGAGAGACGAGAAGCGAGACTAAATCCTCTGCTAACAATCGTTCGCGCAGGTTTTCAATGGCGGTTCGGATCACTCGGTCGACCTCGTTCACGAAGGCGGGGTTCGGGCTAATATGTTGATACCATGATGCGACAAAATCGCGCGTGACTAGACTTAGAACTTCATCAATGCCCTCTGAGACCACAAATGACTGAGGGTAGAGCGAGTGGGGTTTGTAGATTGAACGTTTCCGGACACCTCGCGCTTCTTGATCCCAATGGCGGCGGGTGAGGAAGGCGACGGGGCGCTTGTTTAGGGCGGGGGAAGCTGCATCGGCTGTAGGTCGCGTCGTAAGACAAACAAGAAGAAGTAGGGTGATTGAAGTGAGCAAGACACCTAGCACCAGTGCATGGACAAGGTATCTGAGCACAGGCAGCCACTGGGTGACCAAACCCCAAGCTATGAAAGCACCGATGGCCAGCAGGATGTACTCTTGACGCTTGAGGGCCATTGTCCCCGGATCAGTCGTACTGCCATGCCGGGTTAAGCACGGCAAGAACAAGACGGAGACGTAGAAGTTGACATGTTGCTTAATTTCAATGATTTTTTGTGATTCAACTGGCTTCCCCTGAGTGGAATGATAATAGGGGGATATTATGATATGATATGGTCGAGATAATCAAGTTAAGGTGACCACGATGAGATAATGCATGGAACGATGGGATGATAAGATGCAGGCGGTGAGGAAGTTCGGTTGATCCGGAGTCCGGGGCTTCCCTGGTAGAACATGTTACAATACTTACTGTACCAGGTTTAATACTGGCTATACTACATTGGGAGTATTGTCAACAACAGGGCATAACTAACTAGCTGGAGTAAGCATTGGTCACAGTACGAGGCATAGTTAGTTCACTTGAAGCATAGATAGTGCATATGGATTGGTACAGGCTAGATTGCAGTGGTTCGTCACAGAGAAGAATTTCTGAGAGTTAGGATGTACACATACGGCATCAAATGCAGACCAAAAAGCGTTGGGGCCTCGGAGCCTAGAAGTAACTTAGAGGTGCCAGTAAACGACGTCATGCCGTTTTGGGATTCTTTCTTCTCCACCACCGCATCTCTTTGGGTCTTTCCTGTTCCTCGCCCTCTTTCACTTCTAAGTTCTATCTCCCTCCCTCTCCCTCTTTCTCTCACTTCCTTTCCTCTTCACTCTTCTGTTTCTTCTCGGAGCTGACATTCCGTGTCTTACGTTTCATCTTCTTCTGCAATATGGCTTCCCTATCCAACTTTGTCGACTTGTCTCAACCATCCCTGCAATGTATGTTGACAATGAGTTCTTCCCCGGTTCTCCCCCGCATGTGATTCTCAACTCCACTCTTTGTGTAGGGGCTGCGTTGTCCATTGCCTTCAACCCCATCTTTTGGAAGTAAGTACTGATGATGAGAACTTCTCTCTCCTGACCTTTCTCTCGATTGGACTGACCTATATCTCAAATCCAGCATTGTTGCACGTGCTGGTTAGTCCCCCACACTTCTTGCCCAATCGATCAGGTCTGCCTGCCAGCCTGGCAAGATTTCGCACAGATCTACGACTCTTCATGCGACCTTTCAGAATGACTGAAACTCATTCTCGTCTCGTCTTGTAGAATATCGCAATCACTTCCTGACTCGTATCTTCGGTGGTAATCCCTACTACGGCTGCTACTTCCTCGCCGTCACCATTTTCGGCATTGGAATCCTACGCGACCACGTCTACCAAACGGCCCTGGCAGACCAGCCTTATTATGCCCCAGTGCACCAACCCGTCCTTGGCGGGCTCCTCTTCTCCGTCGGCTCGGTCCTCGTCTTATCCAGCATGTGGGCGCTCGGTGTGACCGGCACCTACTTAGGAGACTATTTCGGAATCCTCATGGATGCTCCCGTCACTGGGTTTCCCTTCAACGTCACCGGCTCGCCGATGTACTGGGGAAGCACCCTCAACTTCTTGGGTGTAGCCCTGTACAGAGGTAAAGTCGCGGGCCTCATCCTGACCGCCGAAGTCTTTATTCTCTACTGGTTCGCTCTCCAATGGGAGGAGTAAGTATTTCCCTTTCATCCAACTGTTCTCTCCGAACCCACCCCCTTCCCCCACATGTTTTCCTCACGCATCATGCTCTGGGGACCTCAATACCACACGAACTATCAGCCAGCCTATACTCAAACATCCCAAACGCGACGAACCCCAGGCTCCCTCCTCACTGTCCCACGCGAACACTCTCAGCCCATACGCGATTTCTTGATTTGGAGAGATATTCCCTACAAACTGGTCCTGCGCAATCAATCACGCAACTAACCACAAACCATCCTCATGTAGTCCCTTCACTGCCGAAATCTACGCCAAGCGCGAGCGCGAGCGTGCCAAGGGCAAGCAAGGCGGCAAGAAGAACCTGTAACTTCAGTCAGTACCTTAACAGGCACTTCGATATCCGATGTTCTGTCAGAGGAAGGGGGTGGTATCCCTCCCACCGCGGGCTTTCCTGGCACTGACATACATCATCCAATGCGGAACGCGATGCAGCTCTCTTTCTCTCCCCCCAACGCGCCAATGAAAGGGAGCTGTAGGGCGTCTTCAACACTCACTATCCCCTTCTCGCTCTCGCATCAATTCGGTACCACTACACACCATCAACCTGCCTACCACTGCCTCCCTCACCAGATAAACCCACCCTAGGACAACCTCACCGGGCAGTCCTTCCAGCAGAGGGAATGGAAAATGCACCCTCCTAACCCACAGTATTCCTCAACGATACATGACTACCATTCCTCGACCCTCAAATGACATACATACAACAGAAAAACATAATATGCAAAAAACGACGGCGTCGGACAACGCCATTCGAGCCGAAAGTAAGAGACCGAGCGGAGGCTGGAAGAGTTACACTCAAACCCGGGAGATAAAAAAATTGTTTCATTCTTTTATTGTATTTTCTTTTTCCGAGCTTCGATTTAGATCTCATGGTTATTGATTGTATAGATCGGGACCATTGAGTACGAAATGACACGTGCCCGTACGTTCCGAAGTGATGATAGATAAGAGTTTGATAAATGATAGGAGGGTAAGTGGATTGGGGGGTGGGTATCAAGTATATGTATGTATGTAGTGTGTGTATGCAGTGTGCTTGTGCGCTACATGCAAACCTTGCAGAGAATTGGAACATGAAGAAAAAGGTTGGTCATCATTCAGTCCATTATCATGTCATGGATATATCAGTCCCTCAAAAAGTTTAAACGCCGCCAACTCCGCGCTATGGGTTCTCTAAGATGATGTTAATATAAGAATCGATGCCTGCATTCGTAGATGGGTGAAAAAGAAGAGGTCGGCCGTGAGAGAGAAGAGAGCGAATAGACGAGGGAAGAGGCTAAGCTCGTCGACCTCTGCCTCTCTTGTTCGACGTCCGACTTTCTTCGACAGGTTCGATCTCGTCCTCGTCAGCGCCCTTCTTGAGGTCCTCTCCTTCGGCCAGACCCCATTTCTCACGGTCGTACCAGTCTTCGCCGTCGCTCAATTCGCCGACGTGGCCTTCGGCTTTGCACCATTCAAATACGTCTTCCTTCATGCGGCAGGCGCGGAAGAGGCAGTCCAGCATGTGCTCAAAACCGCGGACGGTCTCCTCTTGCTTTTGAACATAGGACCATAGCAGTCGGCGGGTGTCTTCGGCTTCGTTGGGGGGTAGGCCGAAATTGGGGTCGGGTCGGACAGATTCGGGAATGAGGAACAGTGGGTGGGGTGTGGGTAGGCTGCCCAGAGTGTCGTCGGATGGGGCAGGGGATAGAGGCCCCGATTCGTCGTCCTGATGAGGATTGGCAGCGTTGGTCTGCGCACGTGTTGTCATGCGTCGAGGAGGCTCCGGCGATATTTCATCATCCTGCATCTCTGCGTCCTTATCCGTATCGTCGCCCGCAGCATCGGGTCGATGTTCGGGGTCTGGCTGTGTAACACTGGCGGTACCATTGCTGTTCGAGTCTGCCTTCCCTTCCCGGTGAAGAGTGCGATCGGAATCAGGCAGCTGATCTTCAACTATCTTAGTGCTGTTCGCAAGGTGACTGCCATTAACTTGTGTTTCTTGCTTGGTTGTTTCTGAGTGATGGGGCAGGTCGCCCACGGGCGTGTCGACTTCCTCCGATTTAGGTTCCCTAGTCTGGTCGAGCTTTGGGAGATGATGCACCTGGTTCGTGCGGTGATCTTGGGCATCGGTCATCTCCACGTCTTCGTCAGCAGCAGGCTGAGACTGCGAGGTCTCATTCTGAGCGGCATGAGACGGCTGTGATGCCTCGGTGACCGACGAGGATCCCTGTGTGCCATCCGTTTCCGTTGTAGGTTTGCTTGTCGGTAGTGATGCAGTTGTGCCATTCGGTCCGCTCTGATTCAAAGACGGACTATGTGTAGTGCTAGCCACTCGGGGCTCAAAGATCCAGCGATCCGCCGACGTCTCAACCATACCGCACGCCATCCAAGAACTATCGCCCAAAAACTGCCTGTGCAGATTTCTCGCCCGCCATAACAATGCTCTTTCCTGGCGAAGTTTGGCTTCAATTGCTTGGGTCATATGCAACATTGCTTTCGAGGTATAGGCATGCGACATGGAAGGATGCGTAGGGAGTTCAGAAGGATGCTTCAACGGGCACATAAAATCTGAGAACAAACGACGTGAAACGATTAGCCACTCAAGTTCTCTCGCACGGTCGGTGTAGGCAGGGTGGGTAAAGTCTCTCACTTTCGAGCGCGATCTCAGAGAATGGATTCTCTTCCGCTGCCGCGGCATCTGCCTCAGAATCTTCGTCGTCGTCGTCGAGCTCATCACCTTCGGAATCGTAGCGCACCGGATTTCGCTGGAGGATGTAGCGCGTGAACCCTCCATGTTCGATTTTCTATAAAGTCCAGGCCCAGCGATGATCAGCCTGCTTGCTCGCGCTCTCTCCGTATCCATCCTGCTTTCCATCGCTCACGATCATTCGACGCACGATGATCGAGAGAGAGGAGACGCAGTGAAGAACGACTCACCTGCTTGTAGAGATCCTCCGGATGGATATATCCTAGTGCTCCCTCTCGAACGAATTTCGCGTTTGCCCGAAGCTTGTTGCCTCGGTTTGTCGGTTGGGTGATAGGATCGTCAGGACCGGAATCTACCACAGCGAGAGGGGAGGACGGTTAGCCAGATTGTCAACGACAAAAAGACCGAGACCTGGAAGGCGTAGACATACAATCATTTTCCTTGTGCAAGGCCCTTTTCATGCCAAGGATCGTGTCGAGGATTAAAGCCTGCTGGGTCATGGCTGCGATTGGAGCGAACAGACAGCAGTCGCACTACCAAGCAGCCGCACGAGCAGGAGGAGGGGAAGCAAATGGGGTCTGGAATAACGATGGTGTTGGTGGGAAAGATTTCTGAGAGAGGCGGAAAATAAATGACAAATGACCGGTTAGTAGCCGGAGAGTAAGGAGCGAGCGTGAGAAGATGGGGAGGTTGTAAGAGCGAAGTGGGAAGAGGGAATCTGCGCAGCTCTTCCGAGAGCGAGAGAGAGAGAGAGAGAGAGAGTTGCTCACTTGCTCACTCGCTCTCCGCTTAACGGAATGGGGAGCTGCGGGCGTCGCTCCGATCGCCGCCACTAGTCCATTGCGGGTAATGCGTGATAAGGGCTGGGATCACGTGCATGGCTGTTTCTTACAGAGTCATCGTCATCTTCCTCATCTTCCTCATCTTCCTCACTTCATCATATCGGATTTATACACCTGGCACATTCCGCACTGTGTCCGAAATGAATCATCCTGGACGTACTGCACACAAATCTCCGCTGAGCTAACCTGAATATCAATCTTTATCTAGCTACCTCATATATCAATTCACATAGATCAATTGCATAGCTGGACCTAGTCGTCAGCATCTACCCAGACCAAAACGCCTTTCTTGTCCGTCCGCATATCTTCCGTCGGTAGAACTCGAAGAGTCTTGTTGAAGTATGTATCGACGACAACAAGCTGCGGCTGGATCCATAATCCTCGCTTTGATGCCAATAGGTTATATCGAACTGTCTGTCTGCTCAAGGGCACCAACTGGACCACCATCGTCTTCGGTCCACTGAAGGCGAAGTTTTCGCTGGCCTCCATGGTCAGGTTGAAAGTGAGGAAGTGCATCGACGGATTCTCCAAGGTGTATTCCAGGTGAATCAGGCCGGAAAGAGCACTTGAAGGCCTCGCTGAGGCCAGCACTCGAGGCTCCCCGGTCGGAATCATGAATCGAGGGATAGCAAGGGTCGAAGTGGTAGTAGCCGGGTTGGAACCATCATCTTCGGCTGCGCTACGCCTCCAATGTATCTCAAGCGCCAAGTTCAGGGAAGTGGGTCGTCGGTCGCCGAGAATCTCTTTCTGGATGTCAAGAGTGAAATTGGACTCCCTAAGTTCCTCGGGCTGAATCTCTACAGCTTCGGGGCTAACAATCTCCTCCGAGCCGATATGACAGGTCGAAGCCCCACCGAGTCCCAGCATCACAACCGACATTTTCTCAATGACGAGAGGCTCCAAGGCAAAAGAGACGACCTTGGAATTCAGGCACCATCGCTGCTGGAGGCCCCCCGGGGTCGAAACCTCTCCACTGGGGAGCAGGTCATCATCAACAATAAAGAAGTCCGGCCAGGGCTCGGGATGGAGCCGGGGGAGAAATTCATAATTAGCTTCGAATGGTCGAATTATGGACAAATTGACCCGCGTTGTTGCGATAATGGGTGTCTGGACATCAGACACGAGGTTGTAAACAGTAGATATGTCGAGATCATAATTCGAGGCATCATTGGTTTCGGTTAGGACGATTACCAACTCTTGGTGACTCGAGCTTTCCATCAGGCCTATTGGCCGTTTGATGAAATGCGATACCCCTTCAATTGGTGTACTCTGACCAGAGCTCGGCGTGTCGGAGGATGTCGTCTCATCTAACCAGCGGATTTTGGCTTTGGAGTCTGGGTGACCAAAGAGTCTCGTTTCCGCCGAGACTTCTGCAGCCTCATCTTCTTCATTGTGGAGGTCAATCTTGAGAATTATTTCCTCATTTGTGTAGTATGTATCGCGCATGTTCAGCACGGATATCCGTATCTTCGGCGGTTTTGGAAGTATCTTGCACCGGCCAGGATCCCGACCTTTGCCGACGCGACGGCGGGTAGGACCTTTCGAGGTAGTCTGCCACCAAAATGATTCAGGTGGGTTTATGTCAGTAATAGCAACTGCAAGGTCAAACTTCTCCTCGTCGATTACTAGTGTGATTGAAGCCACGCGCGATTCTCCCGCCTCTCTGGGGATGCATGTCAACTCATACACCCTTGTTTGCGATGGAGTAATAGTTAGGTCTGCGATACCAGTCAACGCCGTCAGGCCACTGGTAGGTGACAGGATAGACGATTGGTCTGCCGAAACACTTGGATCACGCAGTGAAAGCGCCGATATTGTGCACTGCGTCACGGTATCGACTTCCTCGTTGGTTGACTGGAGCTTGATTGGACGCAGGCAACCTTCGAAAGCAACTTTGACCTCAGATAATCTGATGGGCGCTGAGGATGCGTGAGCGCACGATGTCACAACAAGTTGTCCTTTCAATGGCTCGCCAACATTGCCTTCTGCCTTTTGGAAAACGAACGACGCCGTCACTGGTGGGTAAATCTTAGCACAATAGATCGCACAATCTTGAAGCTGCATCTTACCGCATGAGACAACATCCTCTGCAAGCAGAGCAACCGATGGCTTTGGTTTCGTCAGGGGAAGATCTTCTAGGCTTCTATGTATATCGTAGTGCCATTCAGGCCGGGATGTGAAAGCTAGTAGATAATCAGAAGGTGAGCATAAACTAGAGGATAGCAAGCCCGAGAGCTAATTTTAACCATGTGATCTAGTTTAGGGAATTCTTTACCTTTGTTAAGCAGCTCCCAGTCGATCCGCAACATCAATTCGGCGTCATTCACGTGCGAGGCACTTTCTCTCAAAGCCCAGCCGGCTTTTTCCATGAGCTGCCACCAACCTGTGCGTCGCCATGTCAAGGTTGGCCACAACGGCTTGAGAATCGAATAGGCTTTTTGCCATGAACCCACGCGCATATACTCTTCTGCTATCTCCAAGGTGATGCTTTCCGTCTTTCGTAGCTGATCACGCTTAGCAAATTCTTCCAATGCTGGTTTTAGCGCATCTAGTCTCCACGCAGAGTGATCGAAGCCGCTTGTTCCCGACTTAGGTGCTTCAACATGCGGTTCAGGTACCAAATATGTGTCATACATGTAAGACTTATTCGCTATCTGGGAAGCAGGAGACTGTCCGGGCGGCATTCGATCTTCCTCGGGAATCTGCTCGGCCATGATGCGCCGGTAATTAGCATGCTTGGCTGCTCGATACAACCAGTAGCCCTCATGATGAAGCTGTTCCCACGGCACTTCAGCGTCCAATGTGGAATTAGTAGAGTTAACTGGGACAAAAATCGAATATTGCTGCTGAAATTGATCCTGCGGAATACCAACAGAGGTAAATTGAGGGATACTGGCCTGGCGTATGAGCTGCGCCATGACCATAGACCATCGAGCCTCCCAAGCTTCCCATCCATAATTTTTTGTTCCTTTGCCACGGCGATTCAGGATGTCGTGTGAGCGTCTTCGGTGATTGCCCCATGCGCGCACCGCAAGGGTAGTCTGGCCCGTCCACAAAAGGCAGCGTATGATGCGTATAGCGAGCGCATCCCCAAGCAAACGTGCATCATTGAATCGAGGGTTCCAGCCAGCGATAGATTCAAACACTTCTTGGCCGAATAGAGTTTCGTACGCGCTCTCATAGTTTCTCAGTGCTGCATCAATTTCACGACGGAATTCCGCGAAGATTCCCAATTTGAATTCGTACCTTACATTCCATCCTTGACTCGATAAGGTCTGAGACGTGCCGCTTGTTGGCGGTGCCGTTGGGGGAGGGATCGTTCCTCGATTGCGCTTTCTCCTGGCGTGCTTAGACAGATCTCGATAATATTCTATCACAGATGGCTGAAGATGAGATAACAGAGACACGGCAAACTCTTTCAGTTCCAAAGGCGTGGCATCTGACGGGAGCAGGAAAAGTGATTTCTGATCCAGATTGGTTGCTCTCCGAATGCTCGCTACCCGATCTTCGGCATCCCTGTGCAGACTGTCCTCGCTATCTTCGGACAGTAGAACAACTAAGAAGCGCGTTTTGTAGCCGGAGGATTGCCATTGCCTCTTCAATTCATTTATCTCGATTCGGAGTTGGTTGTCGCGCAGGGAGCTCATATTAAGATCCGCGCAAAACGGAAAGAAGTTGATGACCGCCGCAGGGACAAGCCCTTGGTGTTTGGTGACCCACAAAGGCGTAAGCAGACCGTCAGGGAAAGTAGGTGAAGCGGGAGTCAAAGGTGAGATCGGCGAGTGAAGTATAAACGATGTTCCGCGCGGTACATCATTTTCTTGACTGGCTCCGGGGCTCGTCGGAGGAGACACAGGCGGGGGATCAGCTTTGCGCGGAGGTAATCTATAGGACTAGATGGATATCAGCCTAACCAAGTTTTTGCACATGGCGATGGGCCGATGGGTCGTGAACCAGGGGCATAGTTGCGTGGTAGTTGCAGCTTTCCGCGCAGTCTGTTTGACAGTTCTTGACGAGGGACAAGGAGATGACGCGGGGAGGGAGGGGCACGGCTGGGAGCGCCGTACTGCAATGGCTCACCCGTCCAATACTCTTGATCTTGTACTGGGCTCTTGCTGAGTCTAAATTTCCCTCCTCTCGGGGACTCCCTGCCAAACGCGATGCATCTTCGTCGAGTAGTACACGTCGCAATTCCTCGGCGACCGACCCACTTAACGAAGGAAGATCCGACTCTATTCTCGCACCTTTTTCATGCAGAAAAGGATAGTCCGTTCGAGTATCTTCTGATTTCTCCTCGGATCCCGACTCAAGACCGGAGAGCAATATAAAGGGCAGGTTGTGGGTGACGTAGTCTTCGGGGTAGGCGTCCATTGCGGACAGGTGCTCTTTCGCTGTACCGCCGGTCACCGCATATCTGATTGGGAATGGAAGTTCAAGGTCACGCGGGGGGGTGACCAAGCAAGAGAACAGCGTAAGAAGCGGAGAATCGAATATGATAGAAAGAAGAACTGTAGACTAGATCCAATGTTGTGGGCTTCCACCCGAATAAGCTCCTGCACGTCAGAGAGGAATTGCGGACAGATGAGTTTCCACCCCCGAAATATGCCAAGCTCGCTTTTGGTCCTCCCGCCGCAAGATAACAACAACACTATCGCAGCAACACTTTCACCACCACCTCCACCACACACTAGACACACTTACTGTGCCTCAAAGTCTTGCAGCCATAGCAGGCCTAGATGGCTAAAATGAGGGTCCGTAAGTTCCAGCTGGGTCTGGTCCGACCAGACATATTACGTCTGGTAGATGATTTTTTTCGAAGGTCTCAAGTGTGACGTATGCTCGTACCTTGCACACGGGGGCTGATCGGTAATGATATATATTTTATCGCTCTGGCAGGTACTGTACACACGTCTCATATTTCTGACACTAATTTTGAGGATCAACTACTGATGAAGCAAGATTGATATCCGTGACACTGATTCAACATCTCCTACGTCATATGATTATACCAGTAATTCGCCATGTTGTCCAAGTATCCCCTCACTGACAATACAGTGATCTCGTCGCGTGGAACTCCCAGCCTTTGGGCATGGTATCATCGGCAATCAATGATGACGATCCTACTCCGTACATCCACTCGATATGCATAATTTCTACAGCCCCAACGCTCTTGTGTATGAAGCTCCTAGCTTATCTGATTCTCCCACAATTGCATTATTGAATGCATCACGAAGGAATGCATGGGGAGTAATCATCCAGCTTCAAGGAGTGGCGGCCAGAATCATCATCCTTGCCTCGGGTCCAACACGAGCGTAGTTTAATTCGCAGATTCCGAGAGTGCGAATCGAGAACAGCCGATCCTCATTTCGTGCTCAACCCTGTGATGGTTCGGTGGGGACCTCATACACAATCTCCATCTCTATGTTTCCGCGTTTAGAGATTCTTACCGAGAAAGATGGATCCCGTTTGCCTTGGACCGGGCTGGACGACAATGAGTGCTAAACACGACCTTGTGGTTTCAGACTCGAGGAAATACTCTTGCGGAGATTGGGCGCTTCATCGACACTGTCGAAAGAGAGACTGATCTCCTTCCGCGACTGAGAGAGAGTTAGAACCACAGGGACTGTACCCCTGAAGGTATGAGTTTGATACGGGTAGAAAATTTGGATCTGCGAACAGTGCGGAGGAAGGCAAAGGAAAAGAACCCAGTGAGATCGGAGTGGATTCTCCCTTCCTTCCCATCCACCCATTGTCCGCGGGAGACCCGCAGTCCATTGATGATTGCTTTTGCTTGGTCTTCTGCTCGTCTTCCTTTTCCTTCCCTTTCCCTAGCTTAGCCTGGTAGATACCTATAATTTTTCCATATTTGCCATCCTGGACGGAGGGGGAGGGGGAACGGACTTTTTTTTTTTTTTGAGGGGTCTTTTATGCTATCTACAGTGCATATAAAGCACGCCCGCACATACAGTGGAGAGGAAACTGCTGGATAACTTAGTCTAAATGATGCAAGTCTCATCCTAAGTGAAAAGAAAAGTGATCAGTGGAACAACTGCTGTATATTATTGTTCTCCACCGGAGTCGTTCCATCGTTCCATTATACCCTCTCTCCCTCCTTCCTATCTTAAGCATAAACATAACTTATTTCCTTCTACCCTTTTTCTCAGACCATCAGTAGATTAGATTGCGTGCGCTCTGCGCTGCTCTGCGTTGCTCTGCGTTGTTCTTCTCTACTTCGCTACCTCCTTCAGATTATTTCGATACAACACATTCCCTTTCGTTTCCATTGCAGGGACAACAGGCTTGGAGGCTTCTTGTTGTTTATCTTCCCAGTTTCGGGCTTAGTACCCTTTTTATGGAGCTACAATCGTTCCTTGGGTCCCTTCTTTCTTCTACCAACTAGTTATTCGATCCTTTCCCCTTTTTCTATTTCCGTTCTCTTTTTCTTTTCCCCCTCACTTTATTGTCTAATTTCGATAGTTCTTATCCGCCAAAAAAAAGTCCCCCTACGCAACTACATACAACGACTTTTCTTGACTTCTCCCTGTCGTCCCCGCCGAACTGTGCTACAACGAAAGTCATTGGTTGTCTAGATCGACCTTCTAGACAATAAACATTCGGCAAGGGGGCCGCTGGGCTTGCATACCGCAAGGGCAGCGATAGGACCGCCCTGGATCCTCCACTGCCCTTCTTACTTCCCCTCCCACTCCCACTCCCACTCCCACTCCCCCTCCCCTCCCCGGGGCCTGCCTGCATGGTGACTGGCACATGCGTCAAGCGCCCGCGGTCTATTGATTTTGACCGTTAAGCTATCAAGCTTTGCAGACGTTATCCTGCCATCTTACTGGATCATGCAAGCGCGTACTACCTTCGACCGCATATATCGTCGGTGATTGTCTTCTGTCTGTCTCTGGCTAGCTGGGGCCGAAACTTGCTGTTGGACAGGCAAGATTCCCTGTCCCTGTCAATGTCCGCCATGGATCGCACGGAACATTCTCCGACATCCCAAGTTGATGATGCCCCTTTCCTACCCTCGGCTTTGCTCGACATGCGTCGCAAGTCAATTCCGTCGCGCGCACTCGCTGCGAGTCCACCCCCAGCTTTTGACCCTGCTTCCCCCGAAGTCATCTCTTCTCTGATCTCGTCTCTGTCGACCATCTCGATACCTCTCCAGACGCACTTTGACAACGTTCCGCGCATTGACACCAAGACCGATCCCGACTCGCCCGTCTTTTTCGCCCCCGAGAAACATCACATTCCGGACCAACGCCCGGTCAGCGCGCATGAACTCGGGTTGAGTCTCGGGGCGTTTCAGCCGCCCGTGGAGACGTCACAGAGTCCCTTTCTGCATCCAGATGATGCAGCAGTTGCTCCGATCATTCGCATGGCCCGCGCGCCGCCACCCCCCAAACACAAAGCTGCCCTCGATTCGCCCTTGTCTCCAGGGAGACCGACATCAAGGGGCTCCTTCACTTCGTCCAAGGCCGCCTATGAAGATTCCGCTTTTGGTACAATCACCGCTGAGCCAGGTCCACGGCTTTTAACTGCGAGTAGTGTCGCCTCGTCCGGATCCAAGAAAAGCCTCAAACGCCAAGTCAGCATCTTAAAGCGAGTTTCGCGAGAGTTTCCCAGCGAGAAAGAGCGGCAGCTGGATCGACTGCGCAAAACGAACAGCTTCAACGACGGGCTTCGACAAACTACACCGCGCAATAGGGCCAGTGTACGCTCTCTCCATTCCATGGCCGACGTGGTTGAAGAAGGACGTGCTCCGTCACTCCGATCCCCAACTGAGACCACTACCGATTCTTCACTAAGCAGACCTCCCAGCAAGGAACGCAACTCATTGCAGGGCAACCAAGAAAGTACGCCCAATACTCCAGGTGGCATTGGGAGCGGGCGCGTTATCCCTACCCGCGAATCATCCTTGCGACATAGTTTCTCTTTGAGCTCCAAGCACCGAAGATCTTCTACTCGCCATAGCCGGTATTCATCTACCAGTAGCAGAGAGATGAAAGTGGACAGTGCCGTTTCGGGGGTGGGCAGTGATTCGGATCAGGTGACGAAGAGAATCCAAGAGTTGAAGGACCAGCAACAGAAGATCAAGACCGAGCTAGAATTAGATGACGCCTCGCTGAACTCACCTAAAGAGCCCATTGCCAAAGATGCGCAGCCGTTGGCATCTGCGGGACTTGGTGGAACTACCGATTTACAGCAAGCGGGGCATATATCTCGCTTCAGCTTTGACGAGAGCGCTCCAGCTCCAGCAGTCTTAACGGGCAAAAGCCGCTCTGCAACCTCAATCAGTCCCCCATTCACCTCTAGATCAACCACTACATCCATCCATTCGTTCGACAAATATGACCCATCTGAGAAAATGACGCACAGGCATGTGGCCGACTCACCGTCTCCCTTCCGTCATACTCGATCTCTATCGAGCGCGAGTTCCCCTACTGCTTATACCGCCGTAGAAGAGCGCCCGTCCAGCGCTGACTCCATCGACCTTGCAGTTCAAGACTATGTGACGGCCGCTAAGCTGACCCAGAGGGTCATTCACCCCACGTCAGGCCGCTCTATAGCATTTTCAGAGGTTGGAGACCCTAATGGTCATGTGGTTCTTTGCTGCCTCGGCATGGGGTTGACGAGATATCTGATGGCCTTTTATGACGAGCTGGCAAGGTCTCTCAAGCTTCGCCTGGTCACCTTGGATCGTCCTGGAGTCGGTGAAAGCGCACCTTACATCAACGAACCGGCAACCCCTCTTAGTTGGCCTGGTGAGTACTATGTACCGATCACGCCGTGAGCGTTCTCTTTACTACGAGAAGGGCCGACTGACATGGATTAGATGATGTTGCGATAGTATGTAATCATCTTAGAGTAACAAAGTTCTCGATCATGGCACACTCCGCTGGAGCTATCTATGCGCTAGCTACGGCTTTGAGAATTCCACAGCATATTCGAGGAAGAATTCATCTGCTAGCTCCGTGGATCCCTCCTTCACAGTTATCCAGCTTTGGCTCATTGAAGGCTCCAGTTCCGACCAACGCCGTCCCTTACACCCAACGCATTCTCCGAGCGCTCCCGACATCGATCCTTAAGGTCGCGAACTCTAGCTTCATGAGCGCAGCAAGTGCGAGTCTCACCTCCAGTCTCCCCAGGTCACCCCGGCGAGCCAAGCGCAAAGCGCTACAGAGAGACATCTTAAGCTCCGCTGTTATCGAGCTCAGCAAGCCCCAACAGCTTCCAGGGAAGGTTCACCAGCAAGGCGGTCTGAAAGGCCTTGAGAATAAGAAGCCTACGCCCATAGTCGTAGGAGCAGGCCATCCCATTGACAAACATCTATCGAACCAGGCCGCACTTGCTGCATCTCAAGATCG